GTGGTGATATGGACATGGCAGCTGAGCTGCTCAAGGACGTTCCCCAGGACCAGATGAACAAGGTTGCACGATTCCTCGAAGGCCAAGGCTACAAGGAAATGGCCCTTGAAGTCGCAACCGACCAAGAGCACCGGTTCGAGCTGGCACTCGGGCTCAGCAACCTCGACATCGCCCTGGAAATTGCCCGTGAAGCCAACAACGAGCACAAGTGGAAGACGGTCGGAGATGCCGCCTTGGCAGGATGGAACCTGGCCCTGGCCCAAGAATGCTTCACCAACGCCAAGGACGTCGGCTCTCTCCTCCTTCTGCACACTGCCAGCGGCAACAAGGACGGTCTCCGTCAGCTGGCCGAGCAAGCCTCGGAAGCCGGCCTCCACAACGTCGCCTTTTCCACCTTCTGGTCCCTCGGCGACGTCGACGGCTGCATCGACCTCCTGGTGCGTACCAACCGTCTGGCCGAATCCGTTCTCTTCGCACAGACCTACAAGCCTTCCCGTGCCCCTGCTCTCGTCGCACAATGGAAAGGGTCTCTTGAGGGCTCCGGCAAGACCAAGATCGCCCGTCTCATCGGTATCCCCCCAGGCTGCCCTGACCTGGCCGCGGACGATGACCTCTTCCCGGAGTGGGACGAGTACCTCCGTCTAGAGAAGGAGGGAGTTGTTCCTGAGCCCCCGTCCTCAGAGTCTCTAATCGACGTGCACGCCGACGAGGACGGCAATGCCGTGTCGGCAGGTAACGGTGAGCCCGAGGTGGAAGCTCAAGCCGAAGCCGAAGCCGAGGCCGAAGAGGAAGAGGCCGAAGAAGAAGAAACTGAGGCATGATTGACGATGGTTATATAAGGCGGGGGAAGGATTAGGAGAGAGCGTGTGTGAGAGGCTTTTCCTTTAATTTCCGCAGGAGTGGGAAGAAGAGAAGTGAGAAGAGGAAATATTATTTCCATGTACCGTTGACAACCCTCCTACTTACTCTTATCTAGCTTGCTTGCTCATTTTTTACATAACTTTATTCATCCTTCTAGAACTATGTTTTGTCTTTTTTTTTCTTACATCTGCTTGGTTTATCGTCATGATTCAATCTTATGTTCATCCTTTTTTCTCTTTTGTATTTGAACATTGTATGTTTCTTCGGTTCAGTTCTTTATTCTACTACCTGTATCTATCACCCCTTGTTCTAACGATTTGAAGTGATGATCATAATGTTGTGTCCCCTTTTTCTGCGTATGGTGAGATTCGGACCGTACGATGTATAAGCTACCACACTATATTTGTTTGTGTGACGAGATTCAGTTGTAGATAGTAATCCCATTGTCTATGAGCCAGCCATGTCAAATCAACAAACACCCTTACCGTCAACTGGTTTAGTCCATCCCAGCGCGCAAAGAGAGCAGAATCCAGACAAAAATTTTCGACAGTAACATGAGAAGGAACAGCTAAATGGTCTAAATCGAGGACCGCTCAAATGTGTACTTTCATATGTAGATCGATCCCAAATGGATTTGGCTTCCCCAGGAGCGATCCGTGTTCCGCTGGAGCAGCAAAGGATCGGACCAGCAGATCTGAAACAGAACGAGGTCGGTTCATCAGGCATACAGAGGCCCTGTGCAGAGGGCTAAAATGTGGGAGCTTTTCGCTTTACCTGTGCCGTTCGCCTGTTGTTCGAAAATGGAAGCAAATCACTGACGCAAACCCGAGACAAATTTGTGAAATGATGCGGCAGTCAAAAGAGGTGTGATAATGACAGTAAATGAGAAATGCACGAAAGGGACCCGCCTCAATTGTATCTTGAATGCAAACCAGGATAGAAAAACACAAGCGCTCAGCCGAGATCACCGCCACAGAGAATGGATTCCAACAGAAAGATACCATATACCACTTGTGCTAAGGGAGAAAACAGGGAGAACCAGCAGTGAAGCAAGTGCTCGAGCTAAGCAGAGAATATGCACGAGAAAAGGTGAAAAAGCAAGGAATTGTCTCAAACAATTTCCCTTTATGTCTTGAAGGGACGTATGGTGTTCAAGTGAGTCGATTGATGATATATCAGCTTTTTACTCGGTGATGCTACCAAAAGAGGGATCCTTGACACTGCCACCGGCGTCGCCGAGACCGGCAACCGGGCGGTTGTAAGACCAGCCTTCGAATTGTTGCTGCATAGTCTGTGACAGCATGGGGCCGTCCACGTACGAATCTTGCGGTGCTTCGGAGGTGAACTCCCGGTCGAAGTTGGTGATATCGCGAGCGCCCATCTGCAAAGGTTAGTCATCATCACCGTAGTACGCTAGCCACATCAAAGAGTTACATACCACGTTCGGACGGAAGCTGGGCTCGTACTTCCGCTGGAGAAGCTTGCGCCAATCGATGTTAGCGAAGAAGTGGTGCGACTTAATCTCCGCTGCGCCGTTGGCTCCCAACCGACGTTGAGGATCGCGATCAAGCAGTCGGCTCAGCAGATCCCGAGCGGCCGGGGGAACAATGTCCGTGCTGGGGAAAGTCAGGGGCTCCTGAAGGATCTTGCGATACATATCGTTGGTGTTTTCGTCGTAGAAGGGGGGAAGACCCGTCAACATCTCGTAAAGGAGGACACCCAGCGTCCACCAGTCAACGGTCTTTGTGTATCCGTTTCCAAGCAAAAGCTCGGGTGCGAGGTATTCAGGGGTACCACAGAACGCTGTGTAGAAGGTTAGACCAATTCAGGCTGAAAGCAGGGGCAATCTTACTGTTTGTGCGATCCTCATCCTTCATGTCCAACTTGCACAGACCAAAGTCGCACAGAGCAATGTGGCCAGTGTAATCCAGAAGAATGTTTTCAGGCTTGAGATCACGGTAGATGACCTTGAAACCATGCAGGCACTCCAGCGCACAGAGCAGCTCGGCAGTGTAAAAACGGGCCCGGTTGATATCGAAGCGCTGCTCGCGCTGAAGGTGATGGAACAGCTCACCGCCGTTGACGAACGCAAGGACGAGGTACAGCTTCTCCGGAGACTGGAAGGAGAACTTGAGGGGGACGATGAAGGGGTTGTTGATTTGAGAGAGCACGGATCTTTCGGCGAGGGTGTGGGTGACTTCCGACCGTGAGATGATGTGCGCCTTGCGGATAGTCTTGAGGGCGTAAATCCGACCCGTATCCTTCTTCATGACCTGCATGACCTTGCCGAAACTACCCTTACCCACAACTTTCAGCAACTCGAAGTCTTCCAGCTTCATGCTGCGCTGCTTGTTCTCGACGAAGGAGACACCGATCTTAATGGAACCGGTGCCGAACTGCATATCCAGCCATTCGGCGCCCAGCTGGCCCAGCTGGCGCTCTTGCGGCGTCTTCTTGGACTTGGGGTCTTCCGCATGGGGCTGAGCCTCTTCGAAACGAGGATGTACCTTGACGGCGCCGAGGAAGATATCCTCGCTGCGACCAGCGCCAGGACGAGCTGTGGGGTTCCGCAAATACAACTGAACATTCAATTCCGTCTTGCGCGACACATCAAACTTATAAGCCGTGTTGTCTCCGGCCCACAGAGGGTTTTCGGGGGAACCAGAAACGGCGTCGACGAAGACTTGGTTCTTCTCGAAATCCAGGAGGGCGTAGGGGAGGTACTTGGTCGAATAGCGACCGTGGGAGGTCGGAGCGGCATTGATACCTCCGCTGGTGGATTGAGGGCGACCGCTGGGGACGTAGGAGGCGGCCTGTCCGTGTGCAGAGTGGGATGACGAAGAGCTTGGACGCATGCCATAGGAACCGCTGCTCTGGAAATGGGAGTTGAAGATCTGTTGGTAGTGGGGGGAAAGAGAGAAGCCTCGACCTTCGTGGAGGGTGACGATCAGGATTCCGGGCTTGACAGGGGCCACGGGCGGGGAGACGAGCGACTCCGAGGCATCTTTAAGAGAGTGTTAGACGGTCGGCAGAGAATTAAAGAGAATAGGAACAACATACTGATTCCATTGGAGTTTGTTGTGGAGATACTGGGGGTTTGCGAAACAACGGGGGTCTCTTCGCCAGAATCACCTTTGATGGTGGATGTGGAGGAGGATCGGGTGAATGTTTGGGTCAAAGGAGCCAAGTGCGTCTCCTTTAGTTCTGTATGAGGGAATTAATTCATTAGCATCCGATATGGCGGGACAAAGGAAACACAACCGGGCATAAACATCGCACATACTTCTAGTGAGTTTCCACGACATTGTCATAGGGATGTTCTAACAAGCGAATCCAGGGTGTGTATATGTTTGGAGAAAGGGAGAAGAGGGAGAGGAAGGAAACAGGAAAAGAGAGGATCAATTTGAACAGTCTTCCGACGGTTTTAAGGAAGAGGAAAAGGAGAGAGGAATAGGAGGCCAACAACTGGGTCGGAGGCCTGGCAGAGAAGAAGGGCAGAACGAGCCAGACCAGTCAAGTGCAGTGATAATATGCAGAACCGCCACAGCCACAGCGGTCAGTCAGCGACACAGAAAAACGAGGGAGGAGAAGAGAGGGAGGGAGAGAGGAATGAGGAGGGCGAGGGTAAGTAAGTAGTAGTAGTAGTAGTTTCAGGAACCACCGATCGGGGCGGGAACAGGGGAACACCCGCAAACTGTACAAGACGCTTGAAGAACAAACGAAATGATGATGGAAGTAGAACCAGGGTCGGGGACACGATGGAACGACGAGAAGGAGGATCGACCCGGGAAGTGACTTTTTTAGGGAGAGACAGTTGATAAGGCGAATTGGGGGGGGGAAAGAATTGGGAAATGGGGGGAGGAGGAGTAGGAGGGGGAAAAGGGAAGAGGGGGTGAATGAATGAAGGTGGGAAAGGGACTGAGCGAGGCTGAACTCTGAATAGAATAAGTCGCCGCCACTCCGTCCTTCATTGGTCCAGGAACCCCGTTGCCCGAATGTGTGCCTGGGGCATGAATCTTTGTCACGCTGAGGCGGTGCATTCCCAGATCGTAGTCTAGTCCCGATAAAGTAACCATCAAGCGCACTAGCCTCAGAGTTTAGCCACCGCCCACCCCCAGAACCTCGAATCGTCCGTCCGCCGATACGCGACCAGTCTCCTGTTCACTACAAACTGCTACTATCACAATCCCTTCAGCCATCCCCAGAAACCTTGTTGGTATTACGGTTCTTGTCTGTGCTGGATCGACTTTTTTGGGACCAACCTGACGTTGAGCCCTCAAGGTTACTCCACCCTAGTTTCCCCGGCATTTCCCCCCGCTCATCGACTGCGGAGACGTACATCCCTTTGCGCTACCGTCGTTCTCCGGACCATCACCTTCATACCCGACGCGCATCACTCTTTTCTCATTAGTTCCAAATTGCCCTCTCATTTCACTGGAGGGCGTGTCGGTGTGGTCGAAACGGATCCGGGAACATTGGAGGATGAAAGGGACCCGCGACCGATGGGTGTAATACGGAAGAAGACCGCCTCGCGCGGCACTGAAGCGGGCACCAAGTATCACTGTGATATCTGCTCGGTTGATGTGACTTCAACGGTACAGTCTGCGATCCGTGTTTTAAAAAATCTTCGCCTCTTGTCGGCCTTAAACCTAATCTATCGGTCTCTTACTAGGTTCGCGTATCTTGCGCCCATCCCGCCTGCCACGAATACGATCTCTGCGTCCCCTGCTTCGCTGCCGGAGAGAAATCCAAGAATCATGACCCGTCAACGCATCCATTCCAGGTGATCGAACAGAACTCGGTCCCGATTTTCGAGGAGGACTGGGGTGCGGACGAGGAACTCCTGCTGCTGGAAGGCGCCGAGATCTACGGACTGGGATCATGGGCGGACATTGCAGACCACATTGGTGGTTACCGCACCAAGGAGGAGGTTCGCGACCACTACATCAGCGCCTATATCGATAGCCCGAACTTCCCGTTACCGGAACGCGCCGATCCGGACGACAAGCGCCTTTCGGAGGCCATTTCGAAGGAAGAATTCCAGGCGCGGAAGAAACGCCGCATTGAAGAGCGCAAAGAGGCGGCCAAGGCAGCTCCACCCACAACACCGAAGCAGAAGCCTACTGCCAGTGTACCGGCTTGTCACGAAGTGCAGGGCTACATGCCGGGTCGATTGGAGTTTGAGACAGAGTTCATGAACGAAGCGGAGGAAGCGGTTCAGCACATGACATTTGAGCCTGGCGCGGGCGAGACGGCGAACGGCGAGACAGACGCGGAGATGGAATTGAAGATGACCGTGGTGGATATCTATAACTCGCGGCTTACGGCGCGCACAGAACGCAAGAAGATCCTCTTCGAGCACAACCTCCTCGAGTACCGCAAGAACACGGCACTGGAGAAGAAGCGCACGAAAGAGGAGCGCGACTTGCTGAATAAGGCGAAGCCATTTGCCCGGATGATGAACCACGATGATTTTGAAGAGTTCAACAAGGGTCTCGAGTACGAGCACAACCTGCGGCTAGCCATCACGCAGCTCCAGGAGTGGCGCCAGATGGGCATTGGTGATCTTAAAGGTGGAGAGAAATACGAACAGGAGAAGCAACAGCGGGCACAGCGGATGGTGCCGCAGGGCTCGTTTGATCGGTTCGCCAGCACGCGACCGACGAAGCAGTCGCAGCAACCAGAACAGCCGTCCGCTGCCAGTCAGCTGACAACCCCGGAGCTTCCTCTCCGGCTACAAAAGGCGTCCGGGGCGCCTAAGGCACCTGAGCCTGTCAACCCGCCGATGAATGATTTTGATCGGGCGTTTGCCGCCACCAATGGCGACGTGATCAGCACGCCGCAGCCAGTGAAGACCAAGTTTGTGATCCAGCCACTGAATGGAGTGATTCCGTGGAAGCTGGAGAACGAGGGAGCACCGGATCTGCACCTGCTGACCAAGGAGGAGGTCGAGGTGTGCAATGTGTTGCACATGCAGCCCAAGCCGTACCTAGTAATTAAGGAGACGTTATTGAAAGAGGCGATGAAGCAGGGCGGCAGTTTAAAGAAGAAGGACGCGCGAGCTATTTGCAAGGTAGCCCTCCCACCCTCTTTCCCTTCTGCCAACAAAAAGAGACGTATAGCATTCTGACAAGGATTTCTACAGGTCGACAGTACCAAGACGAGTCGGATCTACGATTTCATGGTACACAGCGGCTGGATCAACAAGAGCTGAGCGTCTGATTTGCATGAGCAGGATACCACGTGGTTCTGTGTAAGGAGTTGCGGCGTTGTGAGGTAGATGATACGATTTACGGGTTTGATTGAGTGATTAAGTAGATGGACATATAGTTTATCTATACAAGGGACAAATTAATCCTTCAATTAACTATAAAGTAAACAGACTTTATTTTATTATTTACGACTTCCATGTAGCTACTACAGTCAACCATGATATTAAAGAGACAATAATCGGAACCGATACCCACCGACTAACCACAGAACCAGTCTAGCGGCAAAAGTCCGTCTTCTCCGCATTCCAATCTAACCACTAACCAGCTTACCTTAAGTATAACATCCGACCGAACCTCGGCATCATTAAAGACCCGTAATCAATCAATCAAACACCTTTATAACAACACCACTCCTCCCCCTACCTACCTTAAACCCATCCCCCTCACCACACCCCAACCCATCTAACATCCCGAAGAAAAAGAAAGAAAATGGCACCAACCCTCCCCACCCCCCCTTCAAACACAATAACCCTCTCCCTCCCCCACCCACACGTCCTCCTAGTCACACTCTCCCGACCCAAAGCACTAAACAGCATTTCCACCGCGGGCCACCACGACCTCCACGCCATCTGGACCTGGATGGACAATGAGCCCTCAATAAGAGTAGGCATATTGACCGGCTCCGGGAGGGCGTTTTGCGCGGGCGCAGACCTCAAAGGTATACCCCCCCTACCCCATATCCCCCTCAATCCTCCACTACATCTCCCCCTCAACATAATACTCATGATACTCATATATAAACACAGAATGGGACTCCACCGTCCAAACCCCCTCCTCATCCACCACCACCCCAGGCATGCCCCCCAGCGGCTTCGGGGGCCTCTCCCGACGGAGCGGCAAAAAGCCTATCATCTGCGCGGTGAACGGGCTCTGCCTGGGGGGTGGATGCGAGATGGTGCTCAACGCCGACATGGTGATCGCTTCTTCTAAAGCGTATTTCGGGTTGCCGGAGGTGCAGCGTGGGGTGGTAGCGTGGGCGGGGGCGTTGCCGCGGTTGGGGAGGATCGTGGGACGACAGAGGGCGATGGAGATGGCGTTGACGGGGAGGAAGGTGCCTGCGGAGGAGGCGGAGAGGTGGGGGATTGTGAATGAGGTTGTTGGTGATGATGGTGGGAAAGGGGTGGTGGAGAGGGCGGTGGAGGTTGCGGTGCAGATTGCGGGGAATAGTCCTGATGCGGTGTTGGTTAGTCGGGAGGGAGTCAAGTTGGGGTGGGAGGGGATTGGGGTTGAGGAGGCGACGGGGTTGTTGATGGAGGGGTGGTCGGACAAGTTGAATCAGGGGGAGAATATCAGGGAGGGTTTGAGGGCGTTTGTGGAAAAGAGGAAGCCCGTCTGGAGGGATAGTAAGTTGTAAATAATAGGTTAAGACTTATATCGGCTACTGTTTATGAGAGACCTGGCATAGGTTCATGTTCAGTCATGTAGTATTCGTGCTAGTTGCCTGCAACTATGTACATCATTATCATGTTATGACTATGCTAATCCGTTTCCATACCCATGCTCCATATCCGCGCCGACCAGTGTTCGCCGTATCCCAGATGGCCTGTCACCGTCCTGCGGTGTGGCCAGTTGTACATGCAGGTGATCGACTCGGAATGCTTTCGCAGTTTTCGTAATCGTAATCGTGAACATTAAAGAAGACAGTGTGCAACAACAGCAATGCCTTTACTTCGTCCCCTGCTGCACCTTGCGCACCCGCTCCAGCACGGCAGGATACAGAGGGTGTTTCTCTTCCAGGCCGGTGAGGTTGCTGGTGGCATCTTCCGCCGACTGTTCTTGAAGGATGTTGGCGAGCTCGGCACTCTCGTCGTCACCAGGCACGTTCTGGAAGCGCAGAGCCATCTCGACAGCGTCCATCAAAGAGTCATACTTCATGCCGCGCTCGGCGAGCTGTGAAGCCGGTCCAATGAAACGCTCCTTGCGAGACAGCTTGCGCAGGGGAGCACGACCCACGCGTTCGACATTGTCCTCCAGATAAGGGTTGGAGATGCGGCTGACGATCTTATCGACGTACTCCTTCTGCTCCTCCTCTGAGATGTCGTGCTTGGCCACGATGAGTGAGGCAGTCTCCTCAAGAACCTTGTGAACAAGTCCACGGATCTCCTTGTCCTCCAGAGCGTCGGCAATCATTTTCTTGCCCCGGAAGTGACCAAAGTAGGCGGTAGTAGCATGTCCGGTGTTGACAGTGAACAATTTGCGCTCAATGTATGGCTCCAGATTGTCGACCCAGTGGATGGCAGGAATGTCTGGGTGGCCAACAGAGCCAAAGGGTGTCTTCTCGACAGCCCATTCGTAGAACTTCTCAATGCGGACATCGAGGCCACTGTTGGGAGCTTGCTGAGGGACGATGCGGTCAATGGCAGAGTTGGCAAACTGGGCCCGGTCGTACAGGGACTCAACGCGGTCCTGGCTGGTGTGCTGCTTGATGAAGCCGTGCAGGGTGTCGGTAGCACCAATGGCATTCTCACAGGCAATAACAGCGACAGGCTTAGACTCTGTGCGAGCATCGATACCCTTGGCAATGACAGGGGCGATGAACTTGAGAATGTTGGGGCCCACAGCACAGGTCACGACATCGGCCGTAGCAATCTCTTGGATGACGTCGCTCTCATGGGTCTTGGAGTTGATGGCACGGTAGTTGGTGATGGTGGTGGTGTGCTCACCCTCCTCACTGACCTCGGTCACATTGTACGACTTGTTCTGCTGGAGAGCCTCGACCATCTTGTCCATGACATCGACGAAGACTACTTCGTAGTCCGCCTTGTGGAGGAACTCGGCGACGAAGCCACGGCCGATGTTACCACCGCCGAACTGAATAGCCTTCTTTCCCATGATGTAGTAAAGTATGACTTAGTAGAAGGGAGGTTGAGGTTGAGATAGAGTAATTGGAAGACTGATCAAGTGAAGAAGTTGATCAGTAGTATGAAAGGTGATTTGATATCGCGAAGAGAAGAGTGGTGTTGAAGACAAAGGAAGGTTGAGAATTGAAGAGGAGAGGATGGAGAGGAGAAGAGGGGGGAATGGAGGGGTATATAAAGTATAATGAGCGAAATAAGAGAGAATGAGGCAGTCACGATGGAAACAACGGAAAAGTGCAACGGTGAATGAAACCGAGACTTTTTTCACGATGTTCGGGCCAATTCCAGTAAGTGGGGGAAAAAGACACACGCAGTGACTATGATCCAAGTAAAAGTGAACTAGACTAACTGACTATGACTTAATGGATCACGATGAGGCCCAATCCAAGCCCTTCCAAACAGGACCAGAGCCGGCCGTTCCAATGAGCGGCGATGACGCAGGCCCAAAGCGGATTGGCCATGCGGGCATTTTCAAGCCCTGCACGCCTCCCCTTACTTTGCAAACTTCTATCCCAATCAGACACGGCCACTGTCAAGGTCCCGGTTGATTCCGCACCCACAGACAATCCTGTCCTAGTCGCATGTGCGACTGTGCCATCGTGAGGTTGACGACGCGATAAACTAATGGCTCGTTGGCCCGTTAGCCCGCATGGCCATCGACTAACTATAGTCTACGTACGACTACTGGTGCTACTGTAAGTCATCTCACAGATTCTCATCCCAGCCGGTTCTAACCCGTTTCTCTTTCCAACAAGTCATCTTCCCTGAACATTGTGTACCTATACTTCGACCGCTGACCTATAATGGGCTTGGCTGGTGGGTGCTGCTTGTTGGTCCTGTTCTCAGGTCTCCTACATCATTCCCCTGACTATCATCATCGTCCAACCGGTCGTTAACATCATCATCATGGAATCAAATCGAGTATCCACCAGGGGTTGACCCACCGCTGGTGTCAGGCCAGCGATAGAATGGATAATTCAAAGAGATTCTACTGTTAGCGCTGGACGATGCCGGGAACGAGCAGCGCCGGAGGGGCCAAGAGAGGCCATGCGCCCTCGTCATTCGACCCGAGCCCAAACCTACTCCACTGGTGACGTGACCGGTTCTTCCCCTCAAGCAACGCTACGCTGCACTGTACCACACTATCGTCGGTTACCCCCAGTGGATGCGATCAACAATGGACGGCCGTAGAATCCCTTTCATGGGGTTTCTGTGGGTCTTTATATCCGGCTCCCTCTTATCCCCAAGACAAACCCAATAGCTTCATGTTCTATAGCCTGGCCGGATGTATTCCTTGCATTTCGATTCATTTCTATCCGCACTATCTACCCTTTCCATCAAATACAGTCCCTATTCCTCTTCTTTCCATCACTGATTTCCCTCCTTTTCCGTCTCCACCCCGGGAGATGGTTCCGCACTGGATTTGACCGATTCATAGTCCGAGTGCATGAGGGACTTAGCTTGATCATCACAGTCACCTGCAAGGGTGCCTGTCTCTGCTCGGCTCCGGTCGACCAGCACCGTCAATAAACTGGTGATGCCTCCCGTCAACATCAACCCAGTGGCGGCCCAAGTCATTCCCAAAAATTGGGGTCCGTACTCGGCACTCACACCCATATCGCGGCCATGGTCATTGACGAGATCGACAAATTGAAACGCGATAACCGTCGCAATAATCGAGGAGATTCCGAGCATGATAAACCCCAGCTAGCACTTGGTTAGTGCTGGGATCATCCCAATCATATGTCTGGGGAGGGCTCTTTACCAGTAATGCCGCTAATTCCATGACGGACTGCCGTGGTCCGCGCCGAACCAGCCAATACAATCTGCCCACTATCGCCAAGCCTGCAGCCCCGGCTCCGATGCAGTAAAAAATCCCTATACTCCGGCTGGTCATGCTGAACGCATGGAAATCATCTGTAACGGCATCGGGCCATCCCAGGTTCGAAAGTGAAGTGGTGTTACCGGTTTCATTCAACAACACCACGGAGGGATTGAAGGCAAAGGGCAACGTGGCTTTGGAGCAATTTGAAAAACGTCTGTTGCCTGCCATGAGATCTCCTTCGCAATACGACATCACATAAATGGAGTAGAAGTCATGTATCCCCGTATTCCGGCTCTGTTCTGAAGAAAGAACCTATACGAGGTATCTCAGCTGACTGACTAGACACTAACGTGCAACCAGAGAGGTCGATCGGGGCTCAAACTAACCGTGAATATATCGACACCTGGGAGCACCGTCAATTGTGTGCCCGCGAAGAGACATAATAAAGTGAGGATAAAAGCGATAAACGCTGTTATCGTGGGGAAGTAGTTCACCAAGCGACCCATGGTGAAAGATGATCTGCCTCTCTACTAAAATTGTTTGCGACAAAGCTTATTTGATGAATATTGCGGCATGATAACCATGAGGGGAATTGCCCGCTCGTAGACGACATGAGCGATAACTTAAAGGATCCCAACCGCCGTGCATTCATCATTCCTTGAGATGGCCGGTATACATCATCTTTGGGAGACAGCAATGATCCCAACTTCCTCTCCTCCTTCAAGCACGTGGCGGTTCCCCAGCTGCATTGGTCGCGGGTACTGCCAGAGATTCCAATTGGCCGACGCGAGCCGTTGGGAATGTGCACGCTCAATTTATCAGGGTTGGCATGTTCATTCTTGAGGGACCGCCCGCTTGAAGAATGCCCGCCTACCGGGAACATTCGAGCTGAAAGAATCAAAAAGGTCCAGATCCTGGATTTGTCATTTGCTTCCCTGAACAACGCTGTTGAATTGGCAGACTCTGGTTCGTAAGGCGGTTGTTCTTTGGACTCGACACCCTGAAAGAACAAATTCTCCAGATGGCCCATTTGGAAAAGTCATCACCCTAGAAAAGTCTTCATCGTATTTCCCACCGAACGCCAATCTCACCTAAGTAGGAATTCGAGACACTGTAGTGACACTACATCCTCAACAACTTCAAAACCTATGCCTCTAGGGGTGGCCTTAGGAGGAATCTCTTCGAGACTTGTTTCCACACACAGTGATTCTACCGGGCAGTGGCACAAGTCACGTTTGATCCATTTTTTTGTAGATACGCACTTTGCTATCTTCAGACCAAACGTAGAATCGAACCTCCCACCAACAACCACCTCATTTCGTATCACAAAGAAATCTCAGTCAACCCAAGAGAAGTCTTGGCTCTTGATGTTCAGCAGACTATAGTTCTAAGAATAACTAATGGTATATGCCACATTTTTCAAGTATGACGCCCTACGAATAGCTGCAGTTGGACATTTGAATAAAATAAGGACATTACTGCTACACCAATTAGGCTCTCTCTATACCAGTCTTTGCTCATGCTACATTCACTGCCAATTTCAAAAGATAGGTCTGCTTTCTATGAGACAAAGCCTTATGTTTAATGCTCACCACCTTCTTAATATAGCAGTATACTATCTGAGGCAGTAGTTCAAATCTCGGCCAGTCAAATAGGCCTTTGCTTGATGCCCGTCTGCAAAGTTTACTTCATACGCACTACAGAGCTACTAGTTTCTGCTGGTGCTTCACTAAACTATGTTTAGGTAGCAGCGCTTGAGTCAAGGAGGTTTTAAACTTCCCCATGAGCATCCGCATTCCTTTCGCGATCAGGTGGCCCCAACCCAGATCTTGACTTTCTCAAAGTTAACCTAAATTTGCTATTTTGAGGAAGGTATCAGCCGTTGATTGAACTCAGATAGTAGATAATGGTTTGTCAGAAAAACACTCATGCCATGAAAAAAAGCTATTTTTAATGCATCAGAGATTGACAATAGTATTTCCCAGCTACTTCACTCAAACAGGGATCTTCACTATTCTTCCATTGGCATTGGGAAGTCACTTGCCACCATTCCCATGGACGAGATTATTTCCCCCTATTTAAGTCTTCCCATTGATCTCAATCTTCTACTTTCGCATCTATCCGCATCTCTCATCTTCTCTGATCAATAAAATATCCTTTCATCATATGTATGCAAGCCAAAGAAGATATATATAATAGTACTGCACTCATATCAAAGCCCACTACGAAATAGAATGCTGGTTGTTGTATTCATTGATACCAAACACTCCTCCATCCGAAGCAGAGCCCCAGAAGCTATATCATAAGGCATCAACACATTGAAATCTACCATCAAGGCTAATGACACGGGATAAATACTATCACTGAACCACAATGACTAATGTGCTTCTTCCGTGGCCAAACAGCCATATTGATCTACGTACCGCATGTATATACATTCTCTCATGGCATGATGGTACTCGAGTGCCTACGCGACATACTAGTAGTAGAGCAACCCTGAGGACGAAATATACGGTTACGCTTCAGAATGACGACAGACCTGCTGTTGATTCAGCAGGAGATACTACTTACTTCCCTATTTAAAGCCAGTATGACATATATGGTAAGGAAACATGTAGTACCATATACGAATATTCACCATATAATATTGTCTTCCAAAGTGGATTGTTCCATACTATTAATGAACAAAACCCTATTTTACGTTGACTACTCACGAGCGACTACTCAACTCGGTGTCGACGAGCTCCACACTTTAGTGGGAATTGATAGCATGGAATGGTTTTCAATAAACTCTCCATACATATAAGGATATAGGGCAAAGGTTCAGAGTAGTTGACGAGTGTATAAGCTACTCATTACGAGTCCACGATGCCCATCAACAGTAGAAAAAGTATTTGACATCGATTAAGATATGTCTACTTACTGCGGGTAACCCAGGCGTTAGGCAATGAGGCACTTGTTGATTACTACTAATTCCAATTTTTTTCTTTTTACGTATTGGCGGATGTGGATATTTACACAGACTGTCTCATGATTATGGATGCGGGAGGATTGGGGAGACTGAGAAGAGCTGATGATTGTGGTGCTCTCTGAGGCATCTCCATGTATAGATCTGCTCATGACATAGATGGCTTCAATACCCTCGTCACTGGTAAGACTAGATGACTGATATATTGCTATTCTCAACAAATTCTCGCCGACGAGGTTGAGGCATGCTGATGATGGCAAACTGTTGATAGTGCCGATATTCGACCCGCAGAAGCACAATATCAAGATGAATTCTACAGGGCATTCAGACTTACCACGGATCAGGGAGTACCAAGTTGCAGTCAACGGTTCAGAACCCGTAATAGCTGTGTTGATTTCTCATCCCGGCGGGGGTACAAGGAAAAGGGCCATTGAGTTGACTAAGGATCCATAATCATATCGGGTCGATGATCACCTTACTCGGTTCAGGGAAGGACGAGGACAGTATTATTTCTAGTTGAAGTTCGACTGTGCAGCTTAGTCTTCTTTCTTCCTTGATTGATATTTCCTCTGTTTTGCCGCTGTGGCTTCATTCGTACTCCTCATAGCTTAGATAGTTAATGGATCAGACACTTATTCATTCATGATATATTATCTAACTGAAGCCCAGGTGAAGCGAAAAGCACATATGTAGAACCAAAAGGGTATCAGATACATTGCTGCTGCTGGGGTATGTAAAGAAAGCGAGCGTATATAGGATCGATCCTTAAAAGTATGCTGTAAGGGAATGGATCATTAAGGCTGGAAAGAATAGATATGCCCCATGAGCAGGGGTATAAATATCAACATAAGGGTAGTACGCATATCAAGGCCGTTGACCGAGAGGTGAAGTGAAAAGCCTTAATCTGAATGACAGTAAGAAAGAAAAGTACCCGAAGACAGATCAAAATGCTACACCAACAGCGGAGTGACGATACTCGTAATATTGGGTAAGCATCTCGTCATAAACTTCGGGCTCCTGGTGCTGTGGCTGTTCGCCCTCGTAGATTGTGGGATAGGTGTGTTCTTCTGTCACGGTTGGAAAGCTCTGTTTGGGTGAGAATGGGCTGCCAAGAGGAAGGTCAAAGTTCCGTGATTCAGTGCTCGATGCTTGCATGGTTGGGGCTACTGTCGTGCCGCTGGCGAGAGACGGGGTGGCCTTGTGGCCTCCGGTGAGGTTGGTAATGGTTGATGCGAGCGTAGAGCCGCTTAGCGTCCGCGACCGGATGCGAAATGGCCCCTTGTCGCTGGTTTTGATCGGATTGGAGAAAAGGAAGTTTGGCTTGTTGGGCGTTTGAAAGAGCCACTGGGTAACACGTCCCGAGCGGGTTGGGGTTCGATTGGGGTTCTCCAATGGTGTGGTCGGAGGTCGGCTTTCGGAGGGAGTGGTAGGTGGGTGATACGTACTGCCTGAAGAAGGGGAATCCTCCTCAGTTGGAATAGAAGGTAAGGGCCTGTCCTGCAGGCTGGGTTTGGTGGGAGTCCTAGGGACCGTGGACGTAGGGTCCTTGTGGGTGTCCCGGTGTAGCTCGTTCCTGGCCAGGGACGTGCTGCCACCACTTAAATCCAGCCTGGGAGTGGTTGAAGGAACCGCACTTGGGGTCAAGCCAGTGACCGCAGAGCTACGTCGTTGTGAAAAATGAGGGATTAAGGGACTGGTGACCGGAGGATTCTTCTCTAATAACTGGAGCTGTTCTTGGGTTGGCAATGAAGACCGACGGGAGCCTGACCCGACCGGCTTTCTCGCAAGCTGGAACGACGAAGAGGGTCGGTGAGTTCGCGGTTGCGATGACCGGCCCATTTCGGTGGACGAGAGAGCCCGCGGGGGTCGTGAAATGACCTGCTTGCGGTCGTGCTCGAGAGGGAAGTCTTCAAACTTGGGAAGATCCGGGAGTCTGTTGCCTGGGGTATTGAAGCTCAACTCCAGGGGACGATATTCATCCAGTTCCGTCAAGAACATTGAGACTCTTCTAAACTCTGAGGGTCCACTGATCCTCACGGGAGCAGTTGACTTCCTTTTGAGCGACATGCTAGCTCGATTGGACGCTCGCGATGCCCGGGTCCTGCCCTCAACCACCCATGACTGTAGCGATGATACCCGAGGCTGAGGGCTTGGACTGGGCAAGTCATCGTAGCCGGTGAGGTTCATCGGAGGAACGAGATGAGGTTGAGTATGGCATACTTTCATTTCTCGTTCGACACCTGCAAGGGACGACTGTCAGTCCCCATGTCTGAGAGGGAGGAGTTGTAGTAGAAGAGAAAGTATGGGGAAAGCTATACCTTTTTGCTTCATAGCCTGTTGATGATGAAAGCTCTCATCGTCGCCCCTCCCGCTCAGGCAGAACAAACAGGAAGATATCCAGCCAGTGAATATGGAGCCTGCCTGCTCAATTGCCTGCATCATGGCTGCCAGCGCATCAGCAGTGATGCTCCATCGCCCAGTGGCCAGAGAGGGAGGACTGGGTGGGGACCGGAAGAAAAGGCAGGCAGCAAAGGCGCGAGCAGGCGATGCACGAGGCAGGTCAATGAAACACTAATACGAGACATCTGCCCAGCGGGGATGCAGGAGAATTAAATCGGAGGGTCCGGGAGGAGGGGGGGCCCATGAGGGCGCTGATATGAGAGAGAGTGTGTGTGAGAAAGAGAGGCTGGGAAGGTTAAAGTAAAACAAAGAAAGCGAGTAAATAAGCAGGAAGATGAAGGAGGGAAGCGGGACAAGAGTAAGTACTAGGGTTCTGATAACCAACCATCTCTCCCAACTGTCCCATTTCCCTCCCCGCGATAAGTGTCAAAGTAGTAAACAACAGAAAAAGCGGCGACCGCTTGATGGCTATTGTCCCCCTGATTCATCAATAATGGGAGATTTGGAAGTAGCAGAGCAGCTAAGGAGATGGTGCCATGCAGTCCAAGGCACCCGCTAAACTAGCTGGCAACCAATAACCGCCACGATCTGTCCCTCCTCGACAGCGTGTCGGCGTGTCGATCAGCCATCAATCCATCAACTGATGGCCATGTCACCCTCTCGGCGCCTAATGGTTGCCCTCCATTTGCTCGGATCGCTGAGGATGTGTGATCCGGTCAGCAGCAGGTGGCATTCACACTTCACACTTCACACTCACACACTCACACCAGATCAACTCATTAGACGGAAACAGATTTAGATACTCGGTGCCTGACTGTAGTGTCCCCCCCCCCAAGATTCAACTTCCGCAGCTTTCCCCTGGTTTCATCCTTCATCTCCTGTCTTCTCGTATCGATAAAACATTTCATGGTTTCATTCATCTTACATATCCTATGCTTCAAGAAAATATTTGCAGATGCGCCCCCATACGTAAGAAAGCCACTGAAATTGGCGGGGATGGGTCTGTGCATGAAGCAAGCTCTGCTCTTCTAGCGATCCCACACATTCTCCTCTTCCAGCCCTCCATATGCCCAATTTGGCCGCGTCGTCAGTTCATCATCATCCCCTGCTCGATCGGTTGGGCTTGCAGCTCTGGTATTCTCCATCGTGCCATCTGCGCTATTTTCAAGATAGCTTGGCCGTTCATCAACTGGCTCCCCAGAGGGTCTCCTAAGTGAGAGGTCAGTGCTGTTCCATTCCGCCGCAGAAAGATGAGATATATGAGATGTTGCAACATACTGGAAGTGCCTCTGGTCGGGCTCCAGCCAGGTCGATCCGAACGCCTTCTGTGTATGCACTCTTTCCGCTTCCTCTGCTTTGTGGTCCTCCACTACCAAGTCCACCAGCTGACTGCGTTGGGAGCTGTGGGATATGGACGAGCTAGTCTCCTGACGAACTGTCTGGCGACCGTTGGGGGGTTCCCTGCGAGAACTACGGGAACTGCCTTCACTTCGTGGGGTGCCTCCGCCATTGTTGATGCGGGACTTACGGTGCTTTCGCGTCCGTTTCACCGCCCCAGGATTCTGTAGATTTGGGGAGCTTCGGTGGTGTATTTGCCGCTGATCCTCCGGCACTTCGTTGGCTGTGATCACGGGATACTGATTGCAATTAGCTCATCGGTGTCCTGGGATAGAGCGCCATACAGCTTGACTTACATTCCAGTCGCCGAATTCAAGAGTGCGTGCATTGGCAAAGAGTCTCTCATCCTCATCGTCAAGACCCATCTCTTCAATGTCACTGTTTGATCGAAATCGACTGAGCATGCTGCTTCGTCGATCGCGACTGCTTCCTTCAGACCCTGACAGTAATGGCGTTCGACTGTTAACCTCGCCTGGCTTGGGGATCCAGTATTTCGCTTTACCCCCACGCTCATACCGCATGCCGTGCATCACTCGCCTGACACGGGAGTTGGACTCGGCATGAGGGATGATGTGATCACCGGAATCAAAGAGTCTGTACTCGTAGTTTTCTCCTCGAAGGGTCATCTTTGTGTCTTCAATAAGGTCGCGGATACCAAAGGAATCGCGAAGGGCAAACTTCACAGGCAGACGGGCAGCTGAAATGGTGGAGTCGGCGTAGTCATGCCAGGAGAAAGCGTACCAGTGGGTAATGGCGAAGAATGGCATCTCAAAGCAGATCAAACTGTCCTGAATCGCAGCGGCGAGATTGTCGGGTGTATATCCCGCCACGCCGTTGGATAGAGCGCCCAGCCACTGCAAGATGGACAAGAAAAAGCCTTGCCAGTAAGAAGCAAAAATGATAAGCTTGACACACAGGAACTTAGGAACCGGACGGAATGGTGCCAGGTCGTTGTGCAAACAGACCCAAAACATGGCTAACGAATAGAGACTTATGGTCACGCTGACATTGTACACGATACCCGTCCAGAGATACCCCGATGTCAAGCCCAGATAGCCTTCCTGATAAGTGTCCGTCGCTTTCATGACAATAGAGATGATAGCCAGAATTGGCTTAAGCCATGTATACTGAAGAATCCCACGCTTGACAGCCAAGAAGGTCTGAGGGTCGGAGATATCCACTTTGGGCAGGATATGGTTCAATGGCCAAGCATGTTGAATTGGAGGACGTCCATGAGTCATGATAATCAATGCTCTCTCGCCTCCAAGAAAGTTGATGAGTAGTTGGAAGAAGGTATAGATCGTGAACGCCTGCAGTGCACCGTAAGCATGTGGCCAGCCAGTTGTCGGCGCGCATAGCTTACCTCGTAGACATCGCGAACGGGGTCCAGCCACATCGCCGCTTTCAATGATATAATGCTAGCCCAGGAGGAAACCGCATAGATAGGGACCCTATTGCAATCAGCATTGCGCCAACACGGTTGTCAATACAAGTGGAGACGGACATCAACAGTATACGGACAACATATCGCTGGAGGAGTGGTTTTCGATAGTTTTTCCTATGCCACAGTCAGAACAGAACTAGGATGAGATGGAAGGTTCGGATGGTCGTACGTCTGAAGCCATATGGACCTAAGATCGAGATGATCGCTTGTTATCAGCACATGTACCCTTCGGGGGCCACCAGGGGCAGCGGGGAAGGAGAGCTTGCTCACAGGAGAGACAGAAGTGAAGCTACCAGCGCAGAAACACCAGCGACTATCACCACCGCTCGTGCCAGGCTCGAGCCTGTACCACCGAAGGATGAAATGCTACTCATGATCAACAAGTTATCGGTACTCGCGGTAGTTGACCGCGTGCGCTTTCAAGGCAGTGTCCGCGGGCAGAGCATTCCGTTTCAGACCACCAAAATGTCACCAAGCGCCGGACATGATCATCGGACGGGTATAATCGTGGAGCTGAAAACTTCCCAAGACCTTCCACAGCGAAGAGCTCCCTCGCATGACGGGTGGGAGAGAAAGCAAGGTCGTGCGGTGAATATTGCGTGGACATCGGGGGGAGTGGGATCCTTATCCATCAGGCCCATTCCTCCGCTCTAGCTTGAGACACCGCCTACTGACACTCTGTGACTGGTTCCGTGACGGCAGCCTAGTCTGAGCTAAGCTGGTCTAGTGCGCGTCCGCCGCCCGTCCCTCCGTCGGAGCTTCCCCGTCCTCTCCACCATCTTTTTGTGACCCAAACCCGCCATTCCAGCCTCAGTTTCAAGGAATCTGGGGGCCCCCTTTCCCTTGTTCAATTCTGCTTGAAACGCTGTCGGGAGTTTTCCATATTGTTTGAACTATGTTTCTTCTCCTATTACGGCTCTCATTGACGGCGCATTGATTGTTTCGCCGAGTCACCATGTTCCCGAAGTACACGGGTTCTGGTAGGAGGATATTGCGACATGGCCAGCACAAGCTTGACAGCTTTATCGCTGACCCCGGATCCAAGCTTCAACTGGTTAGTTTTGTTGTCGCATTTATATTACAATGGCTAACATGCATTCAGGTTCTTCCTCCTTGAGCTCATTGTCTCCTGCATCCTGTGGGTTCTATACATTCTCTCCCCTTTCTCTACAAGGTGACCCGCTAACGATCATACTACCCAGCGTACTGTTCTTTTTACTCTACTTCAATCGCCTCTTTGCGACCCTCTTGTCATACGGAATCCGCGCTTATACTTGGCATTACTATCGTGCCTATGTCGACATCCGTGCGCTTCAGATCTCCCTGTTGGGAGGGAGGATTTTCTTCAAAGGCATCCGATACCATGGGGTGAACGAGACTATTTTTGTGCATGGAGGTTTTATAACATGGCATTATTGGAGACACTCGGTGAGGCAGACGGACCTTGCGAATGGTAGACCCGACAATCAACGATCCCAGGATGATACTTCACACAATGGAACCACCAGTGCCAGCGCGAGCAGCAGTAGCGATCGAGGCGAACAAGGAGGGCTAAAAAGTACGAACTCGCTTCCTTGTCGCATTACCGCCAAACTTTACGGTCTGGAGTGGTTTGTATATAATCGAACTCCAGCCTATGAAGGGATCCTTGCTGGCTTCAGCCCCCCGCCGCCCGCGCCATCGTTCACCAGACCGCAGTATCCTGGAAGCAATACCTTGGATTCCCGACTGAAAGATGATACGATGGATGGTTCTGCGGGGCATACTCCTGACCAGGCGTCTGATCTCCACGGCAGTCGTCGCAATAGCGAGATGAAGGAGACGGTCGCGTCTGCGGCTTCGGAAGGCAATGGGCAAGAGGTAGGGGAGAGCCTATCTAGGTTGCTCCGGCTCCTGCCCATTAGAATCGAGTGTGACAAAGGTGCTATCGTCATGGGCAACGAAAACACAAGATCTGTACTAACTGCCATCTTCGATGGCGCCACGGGTTTGATCGAAGCCTGCGATTCTGGTCCCCTCGACCTTTACCGGCAAGTGTTCTCTTTTGACTTTACCCACCCGGTCATACAGATGCGGCCCAACCCAGACTTCAAGCAGAATCAGATCGCTGCTGCGAAAAGCCTCGGTTCAACCCGGTTGGAGCAAATGGAAACGAAACGCAAACGCGACACGATTTTCAACTACCAACTGCAAAAGCGCCGGGTCTGGCACAGTATCCGTGATCTTATTCCGTACTTTCAGTCTTCTGTTGAATCATTCCACATACATGAGAAGAATCCAGAGGCGGCTCCTCGAAGCTCGGCCGACATCCCCGATGACACACGCTGGGTTGGTCTTTCTCGATATTTGGATGAAAGCTCCCAGGATGACCACGAAGAGTGGAACCCTGTCGAATATGCCAGGTTTTCCACACTGATTGATAGTCCTAGCATGACTGTGGCATACTACTGGGATATCCCTGGTTGTGTCAAGCCGTCCCCCGGTGTACCGGCACCGACACCGGCATCGGATATCAATGGCGCACCACCTCCGGAATGGGGAATCGATGTGAAGATCGGCGGCGGCACTATCAACTATGGTCCTTGGGCTGATAGAGAGCGAGTAGGCTTGCAAAATATATTCTTCCCAAATGCCTACAAAAGCTCGCAGCCGGTTGACCCGCTGACCCCCGGTGAGCTGAGAAAGAACTCTGTATTTCGCCTACGGATCGAAATCAACGAAGAGTTGACATTGCGTATCCCAACCCGGGAGCCATCAAAGGATTGGCAGTGGAAAGGCCGTGCTGACGCAATACGAGGTGTTTCCAAACTCCGAAAGCAATCAAGCCGAAGGCAGTCGCGCGCAGGAGACGGGGATAAAGGCCATATTGGCCCTGACATACGCCCTTTCGGATGGCTTTCACTCCGTGTCGCGGGCGATTCCACCATAAATTATGCCATGGATATGGTAGCATCGGCCTCAGGGTTCCATAGCCAGCTTGACCTCGATCTTCGAGAAACTAAGATGTTGTCCAGTGTCAACCATGCGCTGTTGTGGCAATGTCCTAGACAACTTGTTAGCTGCGATCTCTCCGTACCACTGTCTTGGAACAGCCTCCGGACCTGGTTGTTCGACGTTAAAAGCACCGATATGGAACTATTTCTACTGCGCGATCATATTTTTCTTGTGACGGATCTCGTCTCTGACTGGGCGTCGGGCCCCCCACAGGACTATCACACGTTTGTACCGTTCATATACAAGCTCAAACTGTCTTTTGGCAATTTCCGCTTGTTCCTGAACGTCAATGATATGAACATTGTCAGCAACCCTTCGGACCTGAATGACAATCGCTCATTGGCTATCAAAGGCACGACACTCACTTCCGACATCAGCATCCCTTTGAGCAAATATCAGCCTGAGCAGAACACCGTTGGGTTCAGCGTCAATTTGGAGGATGGAGGCATAGACTATCTGACTCCAGTATGGGATACGCTACATTCTTTTCTGCAAGATAGATCGACTGCCACGTTGAAAAGCCTCTTCATCGAAGGTTCATATAACTACTATCTGTTAACATCCCCGGAGCTGACAGACACGTTGTTGTTAAACATTGACGGGTTTTCTCCCAGGCTCTATCTTTTTGGATTCTTGATACGGTCATTCATGACGATCAGAGAGAACTATTTTGGAGAAGAAATGCATTTCAAAACTCTGGAGGAGTATCAGGAGCACGCATACCAGCAGGAGGAGTCTGGATCGCATGGCGGAGTCAACCCAAACAAGAAGTCAAACGACCTCGATGTGATCGTGCACGTAACTGTTAACAGTCCTTGCGCACTCTTCCCAGGAAATATTTATGGTTACTCCGACTGTCTAAGGCTTACCGCGCCTTTGCTGGAGGCTGACCTTCGATTCACGAACTACTACATGGACTTGCAGTTCTCCCTAGCCCCTCTCAAGGTGGGCTTCGAATCCAGCGAGGTAGAGGAGAAAGTCCTTCCCGCGGAGACCCAACTTTTCATCGATGGTGTTTCTATATACGGCCACCGTCTCTTCGGACTGCCCCCTGCTGAACCTACCTATGTCTGCAATTGGGACTTTGGAGTTGGTCGCATTATTGGAGAGTGCTCGCCCGAATTCTTGAGCTGTCTTGTAGCAGCATTGCAAAGCTTCGACTTGACGTTTGACAATGAGGAAAATGCGCTGCCACCATTATCTCCGATCCAGCTTCATGATGTCACCTTCTTACGGGCCAAGGTGGATTCTATCCATCTTTCTGTCCTCCTAGACAAAGCCGCGCTGATGGTCATGTCTGGGCCAATAACGACAGAGTTCAATGATCTGGCGAATGCAAAGTTTTCCAAGCGGATGAAGCTCCTCATACCGGACCTTTCCATTGCCGCAATTGACTACCAGTTCTTGGGTCGATTTGGAAGTTTGCTGCATACGGAAATCACGCCTCTCGCGCTTATCCAGTCTAATTTGAAAATTATGATGGTTCAAAGAAGAAGTGACATTAATGAAAGCCGGAAACTACAACAGGAGCATATCAAGGTGCATGATAAAAGGACACAGCGGACGCCGTGGCTACTCAAGGATTGGGAGGACATGGATCCCGACTCGCTGCAGCACAATGATGACTCTGTACCACCGACTATTCCTATACCTACAATGCCCGAGCCCATTTCGAAACACTCCGGCTTAGGGTCCTTGCAACTGCCGAGGCGACGCTTTTCTGCAGCCAGAAGCAATCTGAGTTCGAGAAGCTTTCTTGTCCTGCAAGATAGGTTGAGCGTGAAGAGCGTGCCTAAACGAGAAACACGTACAGCCACTCGACCAACAAATATGCCATCTAGAATGGGGAGGAATCAAAAGCTGCATCGGGCAGCGACAGTCGGTTCAACTCCTACAGCATCTAAGTACCCGGATACGTTCAAGGATGGATCGGTAAGCATATCTGGTGTGTCAAATGCGTGGGTCATGCCGGACTTCTCTCTCCATAAGACCGTCCTTGATACATCACAACTCCCTTCGGAAAAGGACTTGCGCAAAGATGGTACTTCACCGAGGGGTAACCCTCCCGTTGTGGATATCGACCCGTTTTTCTCTTTCTCCGACAGTGATGTAACGACTTATACTAACCTTGCCATTGAACTGCCCGTTGGGATTAGGGGCTCCTGCTCCCCTGAGTTCCTTCACATTGTGTCTGCCTTCATTGAGCGATTTCAGCCAAAATCTCCTGTTGCAATTATTGATGCTCTCCAAAAAGAGGTCATATCAGACATTGTAGGTTATGAGAAGTCAATGAGGCAGCCAAAGACGTGCACCAATGTTGCCATCAAAGCTCCTTCAATACTCGTCAATCTGGTCAACTCTGAATTAGCTGCGAACGGTGACATTCATTCTCGTGACGAGTACAGGGTCGAAGTGTCTCATTTGCAGACTGAATTTAGGACAAAGGTGGAGAGGCAAAAGGGCGATCTACTTTCGGGCATAAATAAAAGCTCCATTGTGCATGCGGCTGCAAGCAATCTTTCGATATCTGTCCAAGGAACCAGTTCTGAGATGTGTCAACAGAAAGCCGAATTTAGTTGTATCTTTGGCGATATGAACTTTTGGCTTGTGGCTAATCCTAGCGTGAGATCAAACTTTCAGGTCAGATCATTCGACACTGTGACTTCCACGAAATCCGTGGAGCACCTCGCCTCCCTAGTCCGCCGAACAACTACAATGTCGGATTCCCTTGCATCCTCATTCCAACAGAGCTCATCAATCGGAAACAGGCGGTTGCAGTATCTCATACACTTCCTTACCCAACGAGCTACGGACATTCCAGATCCAACATTTCTTGTTCGCATATCGTACGTGCTTAGAGTTGCACGTTCCCATCTGCGACAGCACGACTCCTGGAAAATCATCTCACGATTGCGAAATGTCTACTCCCATATGTCGCCGGATCAGCGCCAGGTGTTGGCATCCAATTGCCTCCATGATGCTTTTGTGCTTCCTTCAAACGCTAGAACTGTTGTACTCTCTGATTTCGATCAATGGCGAGCCTGGGATTTAGCCCATGTTGAAAAGAGCTATGTGATGCGAAGGATATGGAACACTTCTGATTCCGATTCCGATTCCGAGAAAACATTGACAAGCCTAATGTTCACTTCTACGGTGAAACTATTTCGCTTCTCTATCGACCCCGGGCCGAAAGAGAGCGATTTTATCGTGGAAGATTTGTCGACTGCCGTCTCAGTTCAGCCCAGTGAACTACCATCGACAGACCAAGGGCGCCGACTCAAGGAGGCAGTAGTCATACAGTCGTATTGCTCTTCCGTTGGCCTCCACTTACGATGGGAGATCCTAGATCTGGTGGAAGGAGTCCTGAAAACAATGTCTACAGTCACACTGGAATCTACGCCTCCGCCCCAGAGTCGTGGCAGTGGCCCAGAAAAGCTCACCGAAATCCAGGTAGTTTTTGGAGCTGACCTGGGCTCGATCATTCTCGATGGCATCAATATAAAGCTAGCTTTGACCGGTAAAGCCCTTAGGAGCTCGCTTGTGCAGAAACCCCCCAGCGCAGAAAGTCCGGAAATCATGAGCTTGTTGCTGAGCTCCGAAGCTTGCTTCTCGGAACTCTCCAGCTCTTCCAAAGCTCTCATGCTCTGGAAAGTCAGTAGTCCTCATATGTACTGTTCTCTTTCAACTGAAGAAAACGAGGCAGAGTTGAACCACGAATGGAAGATTGCTGGTTCTTGCAGGAAACTCCGCTATGACATGAGGGAAGATGTGCTGGGCCTCGCACATACTGCTGATCGGTTGATAGAGGACGAGATTCATTTCATACAACAGCTTGTGAATAGTGTGGAATTGCCATCACATGAGCCGCAACTTGACAAAACTCCTTCGAAGAAGCGAGTGCGCAATAATTTCCACGTTGCCATGTTCCTGGACGATTACCGACTAAGCTTTTGTGTGCTTCCATCACTGACATATGTCATCGCTGGAGAAGTAGCACGAACTTCAATCACACCGAAATTTGGATCGAAAATTGAAGTAGACTTTGACTTGAAGAAGAACGCACATACGCTTTTATCAAGCGAAGGCGGCAAGTGGCGTTCCCTTTCAACATTGGAGATACCTCCTATTAATGGTCGAGTCATTGCTGATGTCTCCTCGACCCGCACTGATGTGGAAGTGGATGTCACTATTGAATTGATAAGAGTAGAGGCCAGCGCTGTGCGAAGCCTTCTTGGTGCCCTATCCAAGCCAGAAATTTCGCATTTGCTTGACGATCTGAAGCAAAGTCTCGAAGTCCTGCGGCTACATTTTAACGAGAACATTGCCCAGAAAAGACCTCCACAGCAAAGCGTGTCTAAGAGTCACAGCATTTTGTACAAAGCACGCATGACGATGGCGGGAACAACTATTCATGCCAGGGCACCAGGGCTGAACGGCAAGAGCTATACCGCAGATATGGATATCAGCCTCGGTATGGTGCGCCTTCACCTAGACAACGGCCTCAAGGCAGGACATGCCTTGGAATACCCGGAGTTCCATATCGATACATCGAACATAAGCTTTGATTTGAGGAAGGAAGACGCACATCGCAGCCGCTCATACTGTACTTTTGCAATCGACGCCAAGCTTCAGGGTACCTCGACGACCAGAGAGAGTGGGGAAACTCGACGATTGTTCCACTTAACCAGCAAAGGGTGCGATATCGAGCTTTTCCCAGAGACCGCCGCATTGGTGGTGGATATGGCTGCCCACTTGCAGGAACGCATAAAAACGTTGGACCTTTCTCAGGAGGTAAAGCGATTCAAACGACTGCGACATCGCGGCCACACGGAAGGCAAGGAACAGGAAATTCCAAGCATCAACGTTACGGATAGCGCTTCCTCCGAAGGCCTGTTCGACTCGATGTACTCCCTTGACTTCAACGATATTCAGATTGGCTGGAACATGGCAGGTGTACCACCAATGGCATCTGGACGTAGACCTGATGATCTGGTGTTCTCCATCAAACGTGTGGAATTGTCCAACAAGAAAGCAAATGCCGCTAAGCTTCGAATTGAGGACGTCCAGTTGCAGATGGTGCCTGTTTCTGGTAATAGACGGAAGCGCTCGCTTAATTCTGCTCTATTGCCAGAACTGGTTTTCAATGTGGCATACTCCTCAGCCGGAAAGGAGGTTCGACTAGCCTTCCAAGCTGCAGGGAAATCTCTCGACATACGCGCTACTTCTGATTTTATCTTGCCAGCGAGCGTGATCCGGAACTCTCTTGCCTCTGCTGCACGAACTATCCGAGAGGCCAATGCCACTTTAGTGACAAAGCCATCCGATGATAACACCAAACACCGCCCACTCTTTGGAAATAAGCGCTTCCGCTCCGTTCTGGTTGACGTTGACTTTGCCGGGGCCGTTATGTCCCTACGAGGGCGACACACAGATGATACACAGGCCATGCTAGCGCCACCTTTGAAAGACGGCAGGCTTCCTGGGTCAACTTACGGGCACTACATACAAGGAGATGGAACAGCCACTGCAACGTTCAGAGCTCCAGGAGTAGCTCTGAAAGTCCAATTCGAGGACAACGGGCGAGATGACTCTGCTCTCAACGCGGAGTTGAAGGTCGACGCTTCTACAAATGTCCTCTACCCGAGCCTCGTTCCCCTGATCAAGCAGATGACCTCTACTATAAAGGAAGCCATGGGCGACCAACCAAAGTCGAGGAGGCCGTCCAATGCTATGATGCTGCAGTCGCAGAAGTTGATGCAGGAGACCCCTCTTGATGACAAAGGACCAGGTTCAATTCTTGGTAGGTGCAAGGTTAATGTAGGCATCTTGGTTTGCAAACAGGAGTTCAGCTTAAGCTGCCAACCCATCGCGAGAGTAGCAGCTACGACACGCTTTGACAGTGTATATGTGACAGTCAATACCGTGCAGTCAGATGATCAAGAGCGATTCCTAGCCCTCTTGGTGTCTTTCAACTCATTGCAAGCATCCGTGAAGCATGTGTACTCAAACGAGTCAACCGCTAGCTTTGAGGTTGAGTCTATGGTCATGTCTCTTATGAACAGCAAACACCTAGGGAGGTCGAAAGGGATCTCGGTCGTTCTGAGAGTGAGTCCGATGGAAGTTGCCCTCAATGCGAAGCAGGTTCAAGATCTTCTACTCTTCCGTGAAATTTGGGTTCCTTCAAGTGACGAGGTAGACACTGTCCCTCCACCCGAGCCACAGCCCACGGAGACGCAGGCATATATCGTGCAGCGATATCAACAGGTCGCAGCAACCCCCGCTTTCCCATGGAACACCACAATCTCCATCGAGAAATTGGAAATCCAACTCGACCTAGGGTCTACGCTAGGGAAGGCGCAATTCGCCATCAATGACTTGTGGCTGTCCTCGAAGAAGACCTCCGATTGGGAGCAGACTCTCTGCATCAACTTCAATACACTAGGGATCGAGAGCAAGGGCCGAATGAGCGGTTTGGTTGAGCTTCAGAGTCTCAAGATAGCCACTTCCATTAATTGGCCAAATAGTCAGCAGGTCAACAAGACGCCTCTCATTCAGGCATCTATATCTTGGCTTCAGCTACAGATCAAGGTTTCTTTTGACTATCAACCTTTCTTGATAGCTCACATCTCCAGCTTTGCATTCTTGATGTATAATGTTCGGCAGACGGATGACGCTCCTGGCGAGCGTCTCTTTAGCATACTGGATGGGGACAAAGTGCAGGTCTTTTGCACAAGCCTGACTGCATCACAGTCGCTGGCATTATACCAGGCATGGCAGCGACTTGTGCAAGACAAGCAAGCAGCGTATGAAGCTTCTCTACGAGATGTGGAGCGGTACCTGCGCCGGAAGACGTCGATCTTTTCGGAGAAGGCGGAGGTCTCGTCCAGGGAAATTTCCAAACAGGAGGAAGACAAGATCGAGACGGCACCAATTACCTTGCACACCGGAGTTGTTGTCAGTATCAACACTGTCAGCATAGGAGTCTTTCCAAGCTCATTCTTCGACAATCATGTATTCAAGTTGGAGGCGCATGATGCGCAGGCCCGGTTTGATGTCTCCTTGCAGGACGGCAAAATACACAGCGCATTAGGCCTAACTCTGGGCCAGCTTCGGGTTGCGCTTTCAAACATTGTGCGGTCCGGGCCTATGGATACGGAAGAGCTACTCGTGAATGAGATCGCCAATCGTGTCACGGGATCCAGGGGAGGGACTATCCTCAAGGTGCCCCGGCTCGTGGCTCGCATGCAGACCTGGCAGGTCCCGGGCTCTCAGCAGATTGAGTATATCTTCCAGAGCACATTCGAGGGCAAGGTAGACGTCGGCTGGAACTACTCACGCATCAGTTTCATCCGAGATATGTGGGAGACTCATTCTCGTGCCTTGGCTACTCGACTCGGGAAACCGCTGCCCCCATCCGCGGTTCGGATCACTGGGGCATTTGATGCGGAAGGCAGCGGCGACAAAAATGAGCCGCAAGAGAAGATCACGGCAGTAGTCAATGTTCCGCAGTCGAGGTATACATATGTGGCGCTGGAGACACCAGTGATCGAGACACCTCAACTCCGCGATATGGGCGAGGCGACACCACCGTTGGAATGGATTGGCCTTCAACGGGATAAGCTGCCTAACATTACTCATCAAATTGTCATCGTCACGCTTCTGGAGATTGCCAAAGAGGTGGAGGATGCGTACGCGAAGATTTTAGGATCTTCCTGATTCCTGCAGTTTTGTATATAGGTTTTACAAATAATAAATGGCTCATTATAACTAAGTAATATCCCACGATATACCTGAGGCCAATCTGAAGGAATCCAGATAAGATCAAGATCCCCTTATAATACGATTGGGACCAGGAGCAGTTCTACTATAGTATGTTTGCCAATCAGGATATACCCTAGTCACAAGCCGGAAACAACAGAAGTTTCTTCTCATATCAGACTTACAATGAACTGACCAGCATCAACTACATTCCACCTTTTCATTGATAGCCTCCCGGGGTCTCTACACAAGTCTCACAACACATACACAACAATAGTGACATTCTTGCCAGAATAGTATCATCCAATAGAGAGCCGGAAATAGGGCCTCTTCCAATAACCGAATTGAGGGGTAAACAAAAAGGTGATATACCTACCTTTGTCATAGCATTATCGCCTCTTTGTGTAATCGCACACTAAAATCAAGAACTAGGAAAGCGGTTTCCCATAGTGGCGGTGAGTTAGGACGAAGAGTCCTTGCGTAGTGTATATGAAGAGAGATCGCGCCTCTCAGGCGGTAAGAGCCAAGAACTCGAGACCTTGCATAGTACTTAGCAGAGCCACAGAATAGAATATAAATTTAGAACAACGATAATGGTGCGTATGTGTGATATGTTGGCCACGATACTGTGCTTACTTTCCATTCTCATCTACACTGGATTTACACGTGGGTAACCCAATCTTGCATATTATTTCTATCGGCCTTCTATATCGAGGTGATTCTTCACGAGGCGACTAACCGAAGATGTGGGGATGATATGCTGATGGCCTAGACTGAGGTTCAATGTGGTGTGGTAATCATCAAAGACTAAACGTAGCAATGATAGAAGAAAGGTATACTAAAAACGTGTATCTTATAGGTAAGGAGTATAAGACTCGCCGAGTCAGAGTAGCAAATACTCAAAGGTAGATGTCCAATCCACAAAGTTAAACACACAAAATCTACATACAATATAGACTCTTCGATCCGTAACCTAGTATAAACTCATGATGTAAAATAGCAAGTAAATCGGCGCACTCATCGCTCAGTATCATATAAAAACACCAACCACATCTCCTCCACAAGTTCACAGATATCTGAAATAAGACATACTCATAAGCGAGACATAAAGCGGAATCAATAGTAGATGACGACGATAACCGAGAGGCGCATGCTTCTGGTGCACGTTTGATTGTCGAACTGCCTCAGAAGGGAACACGGCACGGGTGTCACTCGGATGAGTCTCGAAGACTGCTTTCCGAGAAGGATACTGAGGCGGCCATATCACACATAACAGTGGGACTAGGTGGCAGGTAAGACTTATGTAGCACATGAGGACAACAGGAGGGTACAGCAAGGTGGTCATAAGACGACACTGCCAGTCGGGATATCTCTCGACGATGGCCATTACCGAATGAAATACTCCGGCGAGGGTGCCAATCACGAAAAGGACGTTGAAGCCGACCCCAGAATCCCATAGGTCCCTTTTCAATTGTCTCATTCACGTGGGGACCATGTTGGGAATGTTCCAGCTGTTCTGGGCACTGCCAGTCACTACAGACCTACCCCCCTGTAAACCGAATATGTGGAATTGGATAACAGTCCACAGTCGGTCTTTGGCGGCTGTCAGTATACATTGTATCTGTCGGGGTTGATAGACTGCAAGACCTACCTGCACATATCCACAGGTCACCAAAATGAGCAAATGCGGGCATTAGGAAGCCCGTTGCTGCAGCCTTGAGCCATTCGTACAGGAAAATGAGACCAAATGATACCAAGGATAATGGGATCTGGATTTGGAGTAGATTGTGTGGCACAAGTTGTTGGCGTGATACTAACGCAGAAGCAATTGTCGCACAACCGACAACCTGAATCAGAGGCGTCAAAAGCCAGACAATACCAAACAATGCCATATGATACCTCGACGAAGTCGGGATGGACTGCCTGGATGATGCCCAAGGAGTACCGATCAGCTGAATTAAGCCAGTGATCCATCGTCGGTTCTGCCGGACATGACCTTCCAACGAAGTTGGCACGCGTCCAAGCTGCAGCATTTCAGTGAGATATACGACGCGCTTCCCATACGCTGGTAACAGGATTGATAGAGTGAGATCCTCCACTTCATTTATAGTGGAAAATCCGCCCACTTCGACGGCTAGATCGCGGCGCATGACACATCCTGAAGTTGATACCATACTCGACCCCGTTTCGTTCATCCAGGGTCCATATACCTCCCAAAATATTGCCATGTTCTGACCAATCGGGTCCCCTGGGGGAAGGTTATTGTAGTCTTGCCTTGTACCTACAAGTCCAACACTATCATCCCGCAAGAGATGAGGAAGCGTGGCTCGCAGGAAGTTGGGAGCAGGCAGAAAGTCCGAATCGAATAAGGCGATAAACTCCGGCGGCTTCTCCATGCCTCCTTCGATATCAAATAAGCCAAAGTTTAGGTTTCCTGCTTTCGCAAAGACCTTCTGACTCGGCTTAGTTCCTCTGCTATAGTAGATGAGGTTCGGCCAGGTTTGATGCAACTCCTCTACCGCCTGTTTTAGCGCGAGAGAGTTCCCATCATCCAAGACGAGTACCCGAAACGCAGATTGGGGATAGTCAATGGCACATGTCCTACGTATGGTATCGCGAATGATATCCACTGGTTCTCCACAGCACGGCAGTAGAATATCTACCGAAGGCAACGCATCATTTCTAGCTAGGTGAAGTTTCTTTGGCGTTTTCTCGGTCCGCCTAGGAATTTTTATAAGCAGGGACTGGTCTATAGATAGCCGCAGCAGGATGCACGCCACTGTTAGACGAAACACTATAATTTTGACTAATGTCCAATCTTTGATAGGATTGAGAACATACATGTCCAGAAAGCTTCGAAGATCAATATCATCCACATCCAGTAATTGGTCTCAGTCACGCATATCAGACATGATAACCGTACCGCCATGTAGAGTAAGCAAAAGAACAAGCCAGCCAGGCGAACGCGGCTGACGTTCTCCTGGGCGAATCGTATAATAGCTGGCTCCATTGCTATAGATACCCGAGAATATATGGTGCCACTTATAGCAGGCAAGCTCAAAGGTACATCTGACACCCAGGACCGTAGATAGATGATTGAGATTTTTGAGATTTTCTGAAGCTAACCCTGCCATGCTTATAAGAAGGTGCAGATGCGGGACTAACAGGGAGCTTTGGAGGAAGGCTTCAGCAACACTATGGCTGTTCAAACGCTAGTATGTGACTACTGTATGTACTAAGGTGATCTATCTATGCAGGTTCATCTCTAGGTATCACTCACCGCTATTGATTGGACGGCATACGGTAGTTACTGGCATGTGAGCAACGTCACTGGCGATATCTATCAGCGCGAGCTCCTCACATATAGTTAACAATGCATGCACATGGCTCACCGATCGACGAAAGCTCACTTCGTCGGTGAAAGATCCTTTATGTTTTTTTTTCCTTCCTTGGCTGAGCATGCAACAAAGCTGACAACATTTTACATCAATGATCTCGGGATTTGAGAAAATTGCTTTTTTACTCTCAGCCCATGCAGTAGGAGCAGTAAACACGTGTTCTTACTGCATAGGCTTTGAGAGTAAAAAGCAACTCTCTCAAAACCCGAGATTATTGATAAGATTGTCAGCTTTGTTGCATGGGAAATCCCATCTTTGGAACTTGTCATGGGATAGATGGTCATATCGAAATGTGAGTCTGACGGGTAAAAGGCCGCCGCCTGGTCTACGCCGGCATTATCTTTCTTCCTTGTAGGTGGTAAGACATGTAACATGCAACCACAACACCTTTGAACTACAGCTAATAATGTCTTACTATCTTGATAATGGTGACAAGATATGCCGAGAGCGAGGTATGATTGATTGCCAACCTTTCCGTGGATGCAACCTGGACCTAACATAGATCATGGTACAGGCTCAATCTCAACTCAACTTTCCACTCTGCCAAATCTTCTTTATGAATATGTTTGAGGATGCCTATTTATCCAGAAGGGCCCAAGATTATTGACTATGAGGATTCCTGCTTTGAGTCTCTCGAGACATATCTGAAGCGTCGCATAACAATTAAATTTTTGGTAAACGTAGCCATGAGTCCAATGACACTCACTAATTCGACCTCTGCCACTCAAGCCCTAACCGCTGTTGATCCTCTATGAGCTGGCGACCAACCTTACACAGGCTGACATGCTAGCTACCAAAATATTCCGAAATGTTGCAGCGGAAAGCTACTGCCTTATAAATGACTATTGAGGCTGGGGAAAGGAGTTCTGTGTCTTCAGAAAGGTCGAGGCTCGAAATGCAGAGTGCTGTTCCGCTGACCATGGAAGAGCAAAAGATATCATCTACAGGGGCTTGCAAAATCATGGGACAGCTTTTTGTCGGTTACGAAAAAGAGGGGCTGCGACTGCGCGATGAGCTTTTAGCAGAACACGGCCAATCGGACAATAGGAAATGGTACCTGGAAGGACACATTGGCTTTTTTTGGGACAACAGTCTCTGAAACTCAAATTATCCTCTATATAACTAATCTACATGCTCGAAAATGAAGGGGTCTTGATTCGCCAGTTCAACAGCTGTGTCGTGAGCCTGTTGGCTATACTGTCTTATATCATTCGAAAGATTGACACTCGAACAATTTTGAACCGGATAAAGCGCTCTTTACATGGATAGCTGTGAACTGTTGCGCAGACGGTCATATTTAAGCATATGGACTTTCAAACTCGCAAAGATGGGACAGAAACAGGGACCGTCTGATTGCCTCTACTAAATCAATACATATCATATATGTTGGGACATATATCTCTCCGTCGTCTGGCTGACTAGATGCGATATATCGTTTTTGGTCTAGCAGTTAGTGCTTTGACAAAATACATACAGATTGTGTTCCTGATGGTGCTCATCGCTACATTTTAGTACACAGTGTAGGTTCACAGAAGCATAGAAAGTCTTAGTGAAGCCAGTAATAGTTTTGAAAACAGTTGCATTACATCCCAAGGATGACTTTATGCTTGAGAGGCGCATTGTTTTTCATGTTAGTACCATCAGTTTGCTCCGATTCTCACTTTAGCTATATATTTATCAGATGTCAGCCCATCATGATAAATCTTAGCCTATCTGTTGCAAATGTCCTCTCATCGTGCAGCGCTATAGCTTGAGCAAGGACACTCAGTGGTCGGCATGCTTTCCGAGACGATATTGGGCTGCTCTTGTTGATGAACTCGGCTTGTGGTGAAGTGACGAGTCTAAGGGAAACTGAAGTAGCGTCGGCTCTATCCTGACATTTGAAGAAATCGTTATTTCTGTATAGCTTGTATCATACTACCCACTGCATAATGCTGTCATCGAGGGTCGGTCAAGTAAACAATCGAGCTTCATAAACAAGACTTATTCCGTATATAATCTGATTGATATTTATCTTGTCTTCGAAACCCCGAGTTTCGAGATACTATCACAATCAACAGTGCTCTCACAACATATAATTGAAGATACCCAGGGCTCATTTCAGAAAGCACATCCTCTATAAGGTTAGTCAGATCCTCACAGGTGGTTGGTGATCCAGCCACGTGACCAAGCCTGCTAGTATAATTGCTTCAGCAGTAGCTTAGACAATACTATGCCACATTATCTACCTTAGGATAGATTGATGGAACAAAGAGCCTAGACTAGTCATATGTGTACTGCAACAGGGCACGTCGGACCGCAGTTGCAGGTGTGCAGGAGAAATTGGGCGGGCGATTGGCTTGCCGCTGTCAAATTGGTCGAACCACGTTGTTGTAACGTTCGGTAATGCATTAATTCCTAACTCCGCTTCCCCCCATCCCGTGACCAGCCGGGCGGTGAGGAAGGAGGGGTCGATGCCAGCCTGCAGTAAGCAGCTACAGTGTAGAGACTGATAAAATTTCATTACAAGCTAGACATATAATACTATAATGTGACTGCCATGATTGATTCTGTTTTATTCCCCTCCTATCTATTTCCCTCAAATACTTAACAATATTTCCTTCGAAAGAAGCTGACCAAGATGATGAACATGAAGATGTTGGCCAGTGGAACTAGGCCGCAATTGGGTAAGCTTCATACCTTAATTACCCACTCAGGATGGCGGGAAAGAACTTCTCTGGTACAACGGATCATGATATCAGCACACTTCAGCACTCTTTGCCACCCACCCACCTGAACACGGGATCACCGTTGAGAGGGAGGCTGGAGGTTACAAGTAAGGTGGCTAAAGATACCGGAAGAGCTCGTGTACGGGAAAGAGAGGAGCTATGAAGCTCTCTAAGCTTATAGTAACTGGTCATTGGATGACCTCTCCAGAGGAAGGTGTAATTTGCCCATAAACCATGGTCAACTCCCATTACCTTAGTTCCAGTCAGTCTGTGCTGCTGGGAAGTGCCGGCACCCAGAGAGGAAATCGAACAAGGTATTGATGATTGAGTCCTAATACTAGTAGTTGTGCAGTAGTTAGTAGTTCAGCCGTCATTACGGATACTCATCCACAATCTACCATTATTACCCAGTACGTATTTCCCTTGATTCATAACCATTACGATAAGCAGGACTGGTGGGCACTGAAAAAAATAGAAAAGAAAGATACTACTTAGATACTAGAGGGTAAAGAAAAGTAACCGACGCTAAGCAGTGAAACGGTAAGGAAACGAGGGGCCCGACAAGAAAAAACGCACATCCCAGATTTGAAATCGGAAAAAATCCCACCAGCACAAAAAAAAGTGTCCCCACCCGCCGCCCTCTCGCTTTCCTTCCCTCTTTTCCCCTCTTCCTCTCCATCCGCCCTCTTCCCTTCCCTCTTCTCTCTTTTTCCTTCCTTCACCTTCCTCCGCGAAGCCATCTCTGTCTCTTTCCCCGGAGCAGCGCACATAGGCCTTTCTTGTCCTATTTGATCCCTCGGTCGAGCTAGCTCTCGATCTTGGTCCTTTGTGTGTCGTTCTTCCTTTTTATTTTCTTTTTTTACGAAACCCCGCCTCTACGGCAGTTGACGAGAAAAATCAGTCAAGATGGTTAAGTACGTTCACCCACACAGTCCCGGTCAATCTCTATGGCGATGCTATACCATCGCATAGATGGGTTGAGGGGTCGGCATCATACTTTTGGAAACTTGGAATAACGTGCTAACGATGTTCTCTATAGCTTCACTATCGAAGAGGTCCGTTCTATGTTCCCCGCACCCACCTGCATCGGACTGCTTCTCGACACCTAATAGGGCAACCCCGGCCCAGTTATGGGAAAAGCAATCAGTCAACGAGGATGGAAGTGTACTAATACTGGAAATAGATCCGCGGCCTGATGGACCGCCCGGCCAACATCCGTAACATGTCCGTCATTGCTCACGGTATGTACTTGAGCCAGGTCTTGGCATCATTGATGGCCATATGTATCTCGAATTTATCTCGCTGACTCGCAACCATAGTCGATCACGGAAAGTCCACCCTTTCCGACTCCCTGGTCCAGCGTGCCGGTATTATCTCGGCTGCTAAGGCTGGTGAGGGTCGTTACATGGACACCCGTCCCGATGAGCAGGACCGTGGTATCACCATCAAGTCCACTGCCATCTCCCTCTACGCCAAGTTCCCCGATGAGGAGGATCTCAAGGAGATCCCCCAGAAGGTCGATGGCTCTGAGTTCCTGATCAACCTGATCGATTCCCCCGGTCACGTTGACTTCTCCTCTGAGGTCACTGCTGCTCTGCGTGTCACTGACGGTGCCCTGGTCGTCGTCGACTGTGTCTCCGGTGTCTGTGTCCAGACCGAGACTGTCCTTCGTCAGGCCCTGACCGAGCGTATCAAGCCCGTCCTGATCATCAACAAGGTCGATCGTGCTCTGCTCGAGCTCCAGGTCTCCAAGGAGGACCTGTACCAGTCCTTCTCTCGTACCATCGAGTCGGTCAACGTCATCATCGCCACCTACTTCGACAAGGCTCTTGGTGATGTCCAGGTCTACGCCGAGAAGGGTACCGTTGCCTTCGGTTCCGGTCTCCACGGCTGGGCTTTCACCGTCCGCCAGTTCGCCGTCAAGTTCGCCAAGAAGTTCGGTGTTGACCGCAAGAAGATGCTTGAGCGTCTCTGGGTATGGAGCAACCCACTATCTCGCCAGTCTATGAATATCGCTAACAATCAAAACAGGGTGACAACTACTTCAACCCCGCCACCAAGAAGTGGACCAAGACCCAGCCCGAGGTCAACGGCAAGCCCGTTGAGCGTGCCTTCAACATGTTCGTTCTGGACCCCATCTTCAAGATCTTCCAGACCATCAACAACGACAAGAAGGACCAGATCCCCACTCTCCTCGAGAAGCTTGAGGTCAAGCTTTCCAACGACGAGAAGGACCTTGCTGGCAAGCAGCTCCTCAAGGCTGTCATGCGCAAGTTCCTCCCCGCCGCTGATGCCATGTTGGAGATGATCTGTATCCACCTTCCCTCCCCCGTTACTGCCCAGAAGTACCGTGGTGAGACTCTCTACGAGGGTCCCTCCGACGACGACTGCGCCGTCGGTATCCGCGACTGTGACCCCAAGGCTCCTCTGATGCTTTACGTCTCCAAGATGGTTCCCACCTCCGACAAGGGTCGTTTCTACGCTTTCGGTCGTGTCTACTCCGGTACCGTCCGCTCCGGTCTTAAGGTCCGTATCCAGGGTCCCAACTACGTCCCTGGCAAGAAGGAGGACCTGTTCGTCAAGAACATCCAGCGTACCATCCTGATGATGGGTCGTTTCGTCGAGCCCATTGAGGATGTTCCCGCCGGTAACATCGTCGGTCTGGTCGGTGTTGACCAGTTCTTGCTCAAGTCTGGTACCCTCACCACCTCCGAGACTGCCCACAACATGAAGGTCATGAAGTTCTCCGTCTCCCCCGTCGTCCAGCGTTCCGTTGAGGTCAAGAACGCCCAGGATCTGCCCAAGCTGGTCGAAGGTCTTAAGCGTCTGTCCAAGTCTGACCCTTGTGTCCTGACCATGATCAACGAGTCCGGTGAGCACGTCGTTGCCGGTGCTGGTGAGCTTCACCTGGAAATTTGCCTGAAGGATCTCGAGGAGGACCACGCTGGTGTTCCCCTTCGTATCTCCGACCCCGTCGTCTCCTACCGTGAGACCGTCGCTGGCACTTCCAGCATGACTGCTCTGTCCAAGTCTCCCAACAAGCACAACCGTCTGTACCTCACTGCCCAGCCCCTTGACGAGGAGGTCTCCCTGGCCATTGAGGCTGGCAAGATCACCCCCCGTGACGATTTCAAGGCTCGTGCCCGTCTCCTTGCTGACGAGTACGGCTGGGATGTCACCGATGCCCGTAAGATTTGGTGCTTCGGTCCCGACACCACCGGTGCCAACTTGCTGGTTGACCAGACCAAGGCCGTCCAGTACCTTAACGAAATCAAGGACTCTTTCGTCTCTGGTTTCCAGTGGGCCACCCGTGAGGGTCCCATCGCTGAGGAGCCCATGCGCTCTATCCGCTTCAACATCCTTGATGTTACTCTGCACGCTGATGCTATTCACCGTGGTGGTGGTCAGATCATCCCCACTGCTCGTCGTGTCCTGTATGCTGCTACCATGCTTGCCGACCCCGGTATCCTGGAGCCCATCTTCAACGTCGAGATCCAGGTCCCCGAGCAGGCCATGGGTGGTATCTACGGTGTCCTTACCCGCCGTCGTGGTCACGTCTACACCGAGGAGCAGCGCCCTGGTACTCCTCTCTTCAACGTCAAGGCCTACCTGCCCGTCAACGAGTCCTTCGGTTTCCCCGGCGAGCTTCGTCAGGCCACCGGTGGACAGGCCTTCCCCCAGTCTGTCTTCGACCACTGGGCTGTCCTCCCCGGTGGATCTCCTCTTGACCCCACCACCAAGCCTGGTGTCGTCGTCACTGAGATGCGTAAGCGCAAGGGTCTCAAGGAGCAGGTTCCCGGCTACGAGAACGTAAGTTGAACCCCGTATACTAAGTTGTATCGATCAGATCCGAAGCTAACCTATATGAACAGTACTACGACAAGCTGTAAAAACCTTCCATACAAGCCGACTAAAATTCGAACTTGTGATGAATGGAATCCTCTGTTTATGAGATTGACGAATGCAATACCCTGTCTACATTGAGGGGGAGGATATAAAAGAAAAACAGCTTAATGTCGTATGTGGATTTTCGACCGCTTAGAGAAGTAGAATCGAGCTGTGCACGAGCATATGCGATGGCTTTATTTTTACGTTAACGACCGCGAGGGATTTTCCATAGCTCCTTTCCTATTCCCTCGATTGGACATGAAAAAAATATGATGGTTTTCAAGTTCATTTTTAGTATATCGTCACTTTAGACCTGTAATTGGTTTGTGGGCCAGATAGGAGAATAGTAGCATCGGTGGTGACGTGATGTGGTAGGGCAACTGGGCAGCTCACCCAGCGTAGGTCACGTGGTGAGACTGTCATCCGCGTCGCTCGCGTTTCCCCGGCTTTTTTGGACCGCAAAGCTCTGTTGCTATCTCCTCGCACGTCTTTCCTTCATCACACAATGATTTGCGCAAGTCTCTGATTAAATTCACCGTCAAGCTAGTCTTTCGTCACTATATTCGTCAGCCGCATTTTCGACGCCGTTTTTGATCCCTCACCCAAACCTCTTTTCGGGCGCCGCCAAGTAACGCCTGCTACCTCTTCAAGCTCCTCGAGGATCTATTTCTTTCCGGCAACAGTCGCCTGGCACGGTTTCAACCTTGCGCGACAACATGCAGCTCACTGAGGATCAAGCGACTGAGGTGAAGTCGTGGGTAGTGAGGAAACTGGAAGATATGTAAGGCTCATCTGCCCGGCGACTGCTCCTCCAAGACGTTCCCTGCGCTGTATCACAAGCTAACGAATAACCCTCCGGTCCAGATCGGATGCCGATTCTGACGTGCTTGCCGATTACGTCCTGGCGCTTATCCGAACAGATGCCCCGGACGAAGAGATCCGGAAGGCTTCGGTGGACAATCTGGAAGACTTCTTGAGAGAACGTTAGTCATGTTGAGATACTTGCTTGCGCAGAGAAAGCGCAGTTGGCTCACTGGCTTTTCTTGCATATATAGACACTGTTCAGTTTGTCGATGAACTCTTCACAACGTTTGCGCCCAAGCCGCAGCCCGTTCAAACCGCCGCGATGTCCCATGATGGTGCTGCAGGATCAGCTTCGGAACAGCAGCAGGCCTTTGGAGCTCCCTCCGGCCCAGCAAATGGCCCTTACGGCATTCCACAGTCGCAAGCTGATGGCTCCAATTTCAATCGCAAGCGTAACTACCACGAGGGATTCCAGGCCGATCAGGAGCGCGACGATGGACCCCACCATCGCACATACAAGACCCCTCGCCGGGGACGTGGCGGTGGCCGGGGAGATTGGATGGGTAGGGACGGCGGCCGCGCAGGACCGGCTGGTCCGGGACAGTTCCATCCTGGTGCAGCGGGATTCCCAGTGATGCCTCCTGCGTTCCCCGGCTTTGACCAGAATGATCCGATGGCAGCGATGATGGCTCTACAGAGCATGGGCTTCCCTCAGATGCCGGGCATGCCTCCGATGCCGATACCACCCCCGGGCGCCGGTGCCGGCCAGCAGCCGGACCAGATGGGACCCAAGAGTTCGGAGCGGTGTCCGTTCTACGAGACTCAGGGTATCTGCTACCTTGGCGCTACATGCCCCTACCAGCACGATGCCATGCCAGGGTCCTCCAAGGAAGATGGTGAGTTGGCCGATTGATTGCGTTAGCCGCTGAACGAACTCTGCTAATGATGGGGGGTTTTTTTTTTTTTTTTTTTTTTCTTTAGAATACGATCCAAAGTCCTCCAATCTCATTACCGACTTCCAAAGGCGCACGGATACACCTATGCGAGGCAGCGACAGAGGTCGCGGCCGCGGTCGTGGTGGGGACCGAGGTGGCTTTGGAGGCAGGGGACGACGCTCCGAATTCTCTTCTGCCGGGCCTAACGAGGATACGACGATCACGACTATTGTCGTTGAGCAGATCCCTGATGATAAGATGGACGAAGCCACGATCCGAGAGTTCTTTTCACAATATGGCGAGATTACTGAAGTCACTCTGCAACCACACCGACGACTGGCCTTGATTACCTACGATAACCACGCAGCTGCTAAACGGGCATGGTCTAGTCCCAAGGTGATCTTCGATAACCGATTCGTCAAAGTCTACTGGCATAAGCCCAAGGGTGATCGGAATGGTGACCATCGGTCTCCTGCCGGCGACGCCATGAACGAGGGTCCAGCCTTCAACCGCGAAGAGTTTGAGAGACAGCAAGAGGAAGCTCAACGGGCGCACGAGGAGAAATTGAAGAAGCGCAAGGAGACTGAGGAAGCAAAACAAGCCCTCGAGCGACAGCGCGACGAGCTCCTTAAGAAGCAGCAGGAAGAGAAGCTTCGTCTGATGCAAAAGCTTGGCGCAAAAGAAGGCGGTGATGGCAGCGCCTCTCCGGCCGACGAAGCGGGTGTGTCACCGGAGAATGCCAGTGACCAGACCCAGCAGCTTCGTGCACAGCTGGCCGCTCTTGAAGCCGAAGCGAAGAGTCTTGGTATCGACCCCAACGGTGCTGGTGCGAGCGCACCGTACTCCTACCGCGGTCGCGGAAGAGGCTTCGGTGCTCGTGGTGGATTCCCGCCCCGGGGCCGTGGTTACGACCCGTCCTTCCGCGGTGGATATCGTGGTCGTGGCGGCGCTGCTCGCGGCAGAGGTGGTGTTCTACGTCTCGACAACCGACCCCGTAGGGTGGCTGTCTCCGGTGTGGAGGCCAACTCTGAGAAGGACGAGGCCTTGAGACAATACCTCATTGTAAGTTTCCCGCCTCCAGTCTTACCCTATTTACGCTTTCAAAGCTAACCCAGTATACCAGGGCGTCGGCGAATACGAATCCATCGAGCCCAACCCAGACCAACCCGACTCAGTCATCGTAGCCTTCAAGGAACGCTACCTAGCCGAGAAGTTCATGTTTGGAACCCGGGACATCCCCTCGGTAGGCCAAGTCCAGCTCACTTGGGTCCCTAACCCCCCTATCACCCTCCCCGCCAGCGGCGCAACATCCGGCCCTGGCTCGGATACCAACAAGACAGGGTCAGACGAGGACACGGTAATGGACAACGCAACGGGGCCATCCATGTTATCGGAACAGAACGGAGCACGCAAGGACGGCCCGCACGACGTGGACTACGATGTGGCAGAGGTGGATGACAGTTGGGGAGTGGAGTAGAGTAGATCCTACCTACCTGCTTTCGAGTGTAATTTATGCTCATGATGGGATGGACGGATGGATGGTTTGATAGAAAGATACGTCTGCACTTATTTCATACTCCTGGCGTCTTCTGGGGAAGGGAAAATGGTTTCTTTCTTGTCTCGTTGCATAAAGTAGTCGTCGGTGTCTTCTTTTTTGATCCTTATTTGCTTTGATGTGATAGACTCTGCTGGGTATGTATATGTATATGTATGTATGTACCTGGCTCGATTTTCTCTGGCCTTTAGGCTTGTACGATAGTTATGTGTCTTTGCAGATGCAACTGATGGGTGATGATTCATTTTTAATGCTGGTTACATATCTTGATAATATATTAAGATGTAGCCACCATCCTATATGACTAGAACCAAGTACGACCATCAAAAGAATGTTGTACTATGATTATTGCAACTACTTCTAACTACTATCCCGATGAGCATACAAAAAGAAATCCTCGTCCATCCGTTATTGGTTCTTCCGTACCAAGGTATATATACCTCTTCTTCGAGGCAAATCCTTCAGAGGAATTGCCAGATGATGCAATTTCGTCATCCAGCAACAGCCCTCAAACGCCTATGCCTCGCTCAATGATAGAACATTGGGTCCCCTTGCGCCGGCTCCAGACTCTCCCACGCCTCCAAGCTAGGAGCATTTGCTCCTTCATCCCATTCCATAACGCCATCCTTAGGACACTCTTCGACGTTGGTGGGTTCAAGAACGCCATATTTTACCAAGTCCTTCAGGCCGTTAGCCACATACCACTGGATGCCACCCCCAGGTTGACCGAACCACGGAGCAATCTCCCCTTTCTGGGCAATGAATTGCTCCTTCACCTTATAAACATAGTAGTTGAACTGCGGGCTATTCGGATACGTTATCAAGTTCTTCGGCGGGATAGACCGTTCGCTGTACTTGGTACCCAGATCGGCCAGAAAACCACCATAAGGACTGCCGAAGCGGTCCACACAGCTGCCAACCCGAGGTCCTCCTGGTAGAGAGCCGGCTTTAAATCCATCATTCGGCGGATACTCTAGGTCCTGCCAGGGCTCCACATCCCAGTGTCCCCACTTGAAGAGCCAGTCGCGAGGACACAAGCCGCCATACCAATCCCAGCCCTTGAATATCTCGGTCCAATTGCCCCCAAACTTGGGATTGTCCAGACCCAGTAGCTTGTTCTCGCAGACACAGTCTTCACAATAGAATCTCTCCTGGGCGGCGATGGCCGGATCCGGCGTTATGTCACCGCGCACACGATCCCGATCTCGTCGACGTTCGCAGCCTAGGTGAATTAGCGTGAGCATGTTCAAGACATCATATACCTATTTGCAGTCGCTTGTACTATACACTTACTTCCTGCGCATACGCTACAGAGCCCAGGAATGGGAGCATGAGCAGCGCATGGGATATACACACCATGATTGTTTGTAAGTCGAATCGTATGGTTTCTGAAGTAATGCGAATCAAATTGGAACGAAGTAGACGAGCTTGAGGTCGAAAAGCAAGACCCGTAGTCCGCTGCTTTCTGCGGCCTTTATACACCTATGAAAAATCCATGTCTTCACGATCCTCAACTTTTACTATTTCGCAAGGGATGCAGTCAGCCATTGTGTGTTCATACTACCACCCATACCAATGCCAATGTCGGTATGCATATCACCAGCTAGCATCTACTATACTTGGTGAATAGCTACTACTCACCTGACGTATGCCATTTCCATCCCTTTAGTGTGACACCGGAATTACTCACCGAGGCAAAGAGAACCCCCAAGCTACAGGGAAACCGTGGAAGGAGTAGGAGCTGGTGTGTGAGACAGGAGAAAGGCATGTCTAACTGCAATGATCTGCTAGCCATGTTCACCCGAACTTCACGACGAAATATGTTCCTGACTGCAACTACTTACTCGTACGAGTAAGAGCCAAAGTTGATCGCAGAAATGCTTCAAGTCATCTGCCAATTTAAGAAGAGTAAGTATCGGCATCGGTAAGCCCGAGTGTATGGCATGGAGTACGGCAGGGTTCGTTCGGTATCTAAATGCCGATCCCCGCGGAGCTTTTTGATCCTCCACCGGAATGAGAGAATTGCTTTTCATGATTTTTGTTGTTGATGTTGATGATGATGATGTTGTTGTTGTTGTTGGCTTTGGGCCAGTAAAGCCTGAGGATCCATTCCTTCACTAATATAGTTAGTGTTTCATTGTATGCCTAAGGCTCGTTACGCCTGCTTAGGGCTTGGATCTTATTTCTGAAGCTATTGCAAGGTTATTGTGGTTATACTACTATATCTCGTCTACACCCTTGTCTACCTGCAAAGTAACTCCAGCTAATCATTGACTCTATGGAAGTTGTATTGATTTTAATACTAGTAACGGCATACACCCCAGTCCTCCAACACCTACTGACTCCGCTGCCCAAGGAACAGGGCCCGTGCAATACACAATCCCCATCGCCAGCACCACACTTCAGCTACTCAGCTACTACCTAATAATCCTGAAGACCATAGACTCTCTCCATCGGCCCAGCAGCCTCCCAAGCTTCATTAACCCCGAAAGTCGTCGCCCCGACCAACTTAAGCTTGCCGTCAATTTGCAACTGGGTGACATTCGCATACCACTGCCAGCCACCTCCAGGTTGACCATAGCACGGCAGAATCTCTCCACCCAATGCCACAAACTCCTCAGTCACATTGAATCTCCAGTAGTTGTACATGGTACTACCATTGTACTTGTTCAGACTGCTTGGTCCGATGGATCGCTGTGCGTACGGAGCGTCCGCCGGGGCGAGATAACTGCCATTTTGCGTGCCAAAGCGGTCCACCAAGGTGCCAACCCCTAGACTCACATTCTTAGGACAGCCATTGAAGCCATTGTTGGGTGGATAGACAAGTTTGCTATAAGTGGGGTTGAATCCATTGTCGGTCCAGTTCGCCCAGGTACAGAGCCAATCTTTCGGACAGAGGCCGCCCAGCGGAACCCAGTCGGTGAATATGTCGGTGAAGTTGTCGGTCGGTTGGAAATTGGACCATCCTAGCAATTTGTTCTTGCAGATGCAGTAGTCGCAGTAATAATTCGTGTCGGTCGAATCCGGCTCTATGCCGTCGCAGGCATCGACGCAGGTTGAGGGATAGTCTTCTGCCTGTCGGAAGGATGGGGGGGTGGTGTTAGTGTACGTGCTTCTCCGCTTCCCCACTCTCTTTACTATGTATATACATCCATGGTATGATGAGAGGGGTTGGATTGGGACCCCGTACCTGAATTGCATGAGACAAAGTCCCCAGTAACGGGACAAGAAGTAGTGAGACCCGGGCAAGGATAACCATGGTGATTACTAGGTACTACTAGTAGGTACTGCGACGAGCTGGAGGCCAGTTAATTTGTATGACCTATCTGAAAGACTGAAAGCTACATCCTTGAGATGGTAATACCTGACTTATATATTATTTTGATTTCCATCCATCTTATCATCCACAGCTATTCTCACTATACCCAAGAAAGGGGAGAGATATCGAGAGAGGGATTGAAAGACATACCTAGACACCATTTCTTACCATATGGGTGGAATGCTATATACTAAGCTACGAGAATGTAGATACACCCAAGCCAGGAAACGCCTAAGTACTAAGGACTAAGTACTACATATCGAATGCTGCATAAAGCTTGTATTTCGCTTTGGTATCAAATATATTGGGTAAATTGAGACAGATAGTACCCCACTATACAGCCACAAGAACGAACGAGAACCCTAGCAGCACTGATTGTTTTCTATACATTTTTCAAATAGCCCTGGTACTACTCCTACCCTAATATAACAAATATCTGCTAAACCCAATATGGAAAGAACTCGACAGGAAATATGCGGGGAATAGGACGGAAGGGCCGATGCGCAGCTGTTGGCGGGCTTGGGCTTGGCTTGGCTGGGAGAGAGAGAGAGAGGGAGGGGAAAGGGGCGCGTGTGAGGCTGTTTAGGCCTAGATGAGTGAAGAAAGCAAAGTATTTGTAGTAATAGTAGTGGTACTGGTAGATGTGAGGGCCTATTGAGAGGTATACTGCTGTCCAGCAGGTAGTACTGTATTGTCTGTAGGTGAGTTGCTTGGGAGGGATTGATTGCTTCATGAGTGGAGGGCATTGCTGTATTCATTTATCATTTGAATACAAAAAAAGACTATGACGGTGGAAGCGTGGAGAGACGAGCTAGTCAAGGATTACCGTTGAAAGGGGGAACGAGTAGAAAGTCCCGCGGAGTTTGTACTTGTTGTGGAATGGAATTTGTGGCTTGGCTTTCAGGGCTGAGAGTTATTCTCCAAGGTGCTTTGGAGTTGCTATAACACACAAGTTCAAGTTACATTATTCACTTCCCAATGAAATCAACTACACCAGGCCCATTGATCCTGCATGTTCTGCGGAACAAGTTCAACCATGTATCCGTCCTATACAACCGTCAATAACTTCGGTACTGTGATTGATAGAGTCAGGTCTGCCCACCGGATCAGCCACACACGCAATCTGATCGTAAATCTCCTTGAACTTTGGATGTACATCCCCCGTCCCCAAGCCGCGATGCTCTTCCCAAGCACTGAGAGGAACACTGCCCCTGGAACTATCCCCAACCTCTTTCAGCACGTGTACACCATCCCCCCTCAGTCGCTCGACAGCCGCAGGAACATCCGGGACAGTGAAACCTAGATGGCCAAATCCCAAGTTAGGAGGCAAGTTCCCTGTAGACACTCTAAACTCTTTATCCTTCTCAGTCCCATGAGTATGGTAAAACTCCAGCAGCCCGATGGTCTGGGTGAGTTCACGGACGTTGGCGACTCGGAAGGCCCAGGCAGAAAGGTCGGCGCGGTCGCTGGGAGTGGGGGGATAGCCAAGGTAGTACATGGTGAAAGGGCCGGCGTTCATGGTGAAAATGGTGCGCATGCCCATGAGATCGACGTAGAAATGCAGAGTGCGCTGAGGATCTCGGATGCGGAGCATAAAGTGATTCAAACGGTAACCGACCGTGTCGGTTGTCAGAGGCGGGTCGGTGTTATGACCCCCAGGAAGATAGATGCCAGCCTCGAAAGGGGATGATTGAGATGCGGAAGGTGTTGCTTCGTCCATTTCTTTGGCGTGACGAAAGATTGTAGCTTAGAAGAGCGCAAGTTGTTTGCACGCAAGCCGGAGGAAACCTGTACCAGCAATAGAACCAATGCGCGCGAGATGCTCTACGTAGCGAAGCCCGTTGTAGGAATTAAGGAGCACAATGGTGGGAGCTTCTCCAAGTATGACCGAATAATGACCTGTTTGAGCAGATAGTGGCATTAGTGGACCATGGAAACATGATGTTGAGAACGCCACGACCGTTCCTTTCGTCTGAGGATATAGTAATCGCAATTGTAAGAGTAATCTAGGGCTGGCCTGAACCAGATATTTGACCCAATCTTAGTCCGACTCCAATAGCGATTCTTCAGGTTGGGGTACCAAAGAGTATAGGCAAACCAGGGCAAATGTTGCCCCTGTCTGATGACTGCCATTTTTAGTCGTACATGTGAGTTCAGGAAGGCAGGCAGACCGAATACTAAGGGCTGTGTCCGAATGCCTCTCATCCACCTCGTCGGTTATGCTCTTGAGAGCTGCCAGCTTGCTTAGAGCCATGGTCCGTAAAGCTGGACTGGGTCGAAGCAAACTTGACTTCGTCGTCGCTGTCACTGTCCATTTGATCCAGAATCCGGTCGATCTCGTCTCCAGCGTGCAATTCTAGACCAATTCCTTGATCGTTTGAAACTGGCATAGGCCGACCACGGGGATTACTGTCTTGAGAGTCTTGACTATGGGGCACTCGAGAAGCCGAGCTTCTGGAATCGTGGCTGCTCTGAAATATATTTCGTTGACGTTGGGAATGCTGGGAGCTTGAGTGATAACCCGAATGTCCAGGACTGGACATGAAAAGCAGAGTTTCAATAGCGTCCTGTTCCATAGCGCTATTTCGATTGTGGTTTTGATGACCAACCGTACCGTTATAAGAAGCCTGACGCATTGGGCCAAGAGGAGGAGTCCCAGGGACCTGCACCTTCTCTGAATGTGCAGCTGGCCTGGACACGCCAACCTCTTGGTAAGAACGATGTCTGCGATGCAGTGACACAGAAACTTTCGGGTGGTGCAGCGGCTCGTTGGGGTTGGGACGTCGACGGCGACTGCGGCTTCCACTTGCAATATCTGCAGGGGGTGCGAGTTTTGGACGGGGATGGGGTTTTGGCAGATCGAGGTGTGAGGGTGGCGCGGCATCGGCGGATTGGGCCACAGGAGACAACCGCCCAGGGCCGCTCGGGGTGTAGAAACTGGTTGTTGAGGGTGGATCCGGCGCAGACATTGTGGTTCCATCTGGTGAGCTATTTTCTCCCAAACGCTGAGCCTCTATCTCGCTGAAGGCGGGCAACAGTCCAACCTTAGCGAGAGATTCTGTACTAGGCGATAAGGAATGAGCATGGACGCCATGGATCTTCCTACTCTTCTCAACCTTGGCGGCAGCATACGATAATCGCGTTCGCAGGTGAACGGACAACTAATTTGCAATTAGATTTCACATACAAGTCGCCGAAATTGATGTAAGGAGTAAGCCTTACCGCTGCAATCCTGCTCTCACGCGATAAGGAGCCAATACTATGAGAGCGACGTCGATCGGGACTGTCTACTTCGGAAGGGTAGTCCGCTCCAGGGGCATCGACAAGGTGTTTGGAGATCCCAGCTGCAGTCCTCTTCGATGGGGCGTTATGTTTAGATGGGCTTCCCGGTACCGTCATAGAGGAACTATGGCTCTTTCGAATGGTGGACGCCAATGGCTCAGACCTGATCTGTTGCCCACCAGAGGACGCGTGTATACTCGTCCCCGTGGGTTCTGACGAAAGTTGATGGTGCATTATTTCTTGCGTTCTGTTGTATTCGAAGCGCTTTCCTTGTGCGACAGGCGGCAGACCCGTCGAGACCGAAGACTGTGGTAAGTGTCTATTGGAATTAGATGCCGGCTGATCCGATGGTGGCTCTGATGTTATGTGAACCGCCATGGACGACTCCGGCTTAGGTGGCGATACGCTAACACGACTGTTTCTATGATCTATGGTGTCATGATGGCGGCTCCCAGCTGGGCGGCTGTGTTGTTCGGTGGCTTCTGCAAGATTCCGCAACGCAATTTGGGGTTGGGGGTTCTGCACATGTGGGCGTCCGTCTAACCGCGACGATCCACTCATAATGATAAGATGAGCGGCGGAAACCTGACACTGCAGGTCTTCTGAGGAATCTCAATAAGCTCTCGGGTGTGGCGTTTGCACATTCCTCCGATGGCAGCAGAGGAGGCAGAGGGTAAACAATCACGAGGGCTCTCAAACGGCCTGGCGTCTAGCGTCAAATAGAGGCAGATCACCGCCCGCTTCTGACGTTGTTGGGCACGGGAAGGTCCGAAGCGGAGCTGTCAGGAGCACTCAGTCCACTGAGACAAAATGCCTGGGAAGCTGTTTGCTGCAAGGGATGGCGTTCGAAGAATCCACACGTGCAAGGCGGGACTAAGTACTAGCAAAAGCACGTTGCTGGTCTCCGCACGTCAATCCCGATGCCTGATGGATCGGCTTGAGGGGCGTGAGGGAAGGATGAGGAGGGATGCCATATGTAGACGAGAATCCGCCTACATGGAGAACAAATTGAATGCAGAGCTAGCGTTCACTGCGCTGGTGGGCGCAGGGCAACATGGGGAAGATCTTCCAGGACCAGCACAGCAACGAGCGACGAGACAAGACGCGCTGCGCGGCGCGGTCACGTGGGGTTACTTCCACCGCATGGTTCAGGCACCATTTTCAGGCAGCCACAGAAATGTAAAAGTCAACACCAACTCAGTCTATTCCTGGTATAGAGCATCAATATATCCACATAAGAACAATAATCCAATAAGAGAAATAAGAAGTCCGACGCTATAGTCGGGTAAGATTCAACGCCATCCACCATGCAACATGTAGATAGATACACATCGACCATATTCACAGTAAACTTTTAACATCCGGTAGAGATCCCAAAAACATGCCGTTGCAGGAAGCGTTGCCTTACTTGCGCTTCTTACCCCCGCCACCTTCACCGTCCTGGTTTTTGCGCTTCTTACCTTCTCGGCGCCAGTATTCATCCCGTTCTCTCTTCTCCCGCTCGGCCTTCTTTTCCAGACCCTCCGCAACCTTGGCACGATACACCTGGCGCCGTTCCTCCTGCTTGGCCGCACGCTTGGCCTGCTTCTCATTACGCATGGTATTAAGCTTCTGCATGAGATCTCGTGCCTTCTTCTCTTCACCACCCAGGACCACAGCACGCTTCTGCATGTAAGTCTTGTCCTTCCGACCCTTCATCTTCGTGATTTGGGACTTGAAGGGAAGGTCAGCCGCCAGCTGGCGTGGCACACGAAGAGGGTTGAAGTGACGCTCGGGGCGCTCAATGGCGCGGTAAGCCGAGTCCTTGTTCATAGGAGTAGGAATTCCCTTTTCACGACGGACTTCACCAGTTAGACGCATAGCCTTCCAGCCGTTGTCACCGACACCGTCCTCGTCCAGATCCAGCAAGTTGGTGACAGGGTTGTAGAAGCGGTGGGGCTTGATCGGGTACCATGCGCGAAGGAAGACGATATCACTCATGAGAATCTTGTCCTCGAAGGTAGCACGGAAGTAACCCTCGGGCTTGCTGAGAGCGCGTTTGATCTGACCACGAATACCAGATACAGTCCGGATGGAAGCTCCTTCAAATTTGGCGATTTCAATAGACGAGTTGAACATGTCCTTGATGAAAGCGGTGTTCTTGAAGATCTTGTAGGGTACACCAGTCAGCTTAAGCTTCTTGACAATCTCCGTGTGCTCGTCGACGCTCAGTACGACACCTGTAGCAGCGATGCGGAATCCCGGGGTCTTGTTCGAGAATGATTGCAGACAGCAGAAACCGGTGTTAGGTGCAACAAGAGGCCCGTAGAAGGTACCAAAGCAGTGCATGTGTTCGGGAGTGTACTTGAGCATGCGGTTACGGGTTCGACTGTCCGAAGTGCTGTATATCGGCAGGGACTGGAAGCGGCGCCAACCGAGAGAGAAGATAAGAGGGTCGTTGCTCTTCAGGATCTTCTTGTGCCAACGATGCCTCTTGATGCGGATTTGCACGTAACCGAATCTGTCTTCAGTCGGAGCCAGTCCACCCACAATCACAGGGAAGCGGGGGTTGAACTTGGTTGCGAATTCGCAAGGAACGTTCTCAAGCACGATACGTGCATAAGTACCAGCCTTGAAACCTTCCGCACGGGCCCTCGAGGCCGGGTCAAGCATATCGAATTCAGCACGGTTGATGTCGATCTGCTTCTGGAGCTTGGCCTTCTGCATATCGTACCACTCGTCCTCTCCGAATTCTTCTTCTCCACCACCGGCCTGCCGGGAGTTGTCCTTGGAGTTAGCGAATCCTTCACGGTCTTCTTCCTCGAAGCGCAGCCTCAATTCTTCCTTCTTCTTCGCATTACGTTCTCGCTCTGCATCCAAGTCGACGGGGCCTTCGGGCTCTGCAGCTTCATCATCCTCGGCGCCTTCTTCGTCAGAGAATCCGTCGAAAGCTTCACCGGTCTCCAAATCTTCAAACTCTCCGTCACCCTCGTCATCCTCATCAAAGGCATCATCGACATCCGAATCATCGTCGTCGCCACCAGACAGTTTGGCACTGACAAAGCGCTGCCGCAAGGATTCAATCATGTCCGCATCTTGCCATTTGGCTTCTAGTTTGGCGTAGTCGTACTCAGGAACAGCACGGTACTCTGCAGCTTCTTCTTTCTCAACGTTTGTCTTCCTGAAGAAGGCATCTTCGTCCTCTTCAGGCTCTTCATCGTCATTTCCGTCGGCCTCCTCCTTACCACTCCATCGGCGGATCACATCTGCAGGTGTGATGGTTTCATCGTAAAGCATGCGTGACAAGTCAGGGACACGGTACTTGGGACGCTTCGAATGGAGGGCCTTGGCATTGGCAAGCATGTTATCCTTCCAACGGACCTCGCCATCATCTTCACCGTCTTCGTCTTCGTCGTCCTCGTCGCTATCGAGGACCTGATCCTCTACTGACGAGATGGA